AATGGAAGCAGATTGCCTCTAATATCTACGTAACTACGTAATGTACTAACTTTCTTACACTAACGTAATAAAGTAGCAAGGCTTCTTATACCCCCTACTAGTACCTAAATACCCTATGTAACACCTAACGATGGACTTTAAGGAATTCCTAAAGGATAAACACAGATTTAACAGCATCCTTATGTTTATAGACTAACTTAGTAAGGCTTTAGTGTCTATACTATGTTATAAGACTACTAATGCCTACTAAATGGCGCAGCTATTCATTAAATGGATATATTGATTTAGATACACCCTAGAGTTAATCATTAGTAATTATAGACCCTAATTCATATTAGCTTTCTAGTAAGAGTTCTACTAAATCATAGGGGTTAAGATTAAGCTGTCGACAGCCTATTATAAGTAGACTAATAGGTAGACAGAAATTATAAATTAGTATATTAATTAGAGACTAAGGCCCTTTGTATCACATTACTAGGATAACTAGAGCAAGCTTATTCCTATTATAGATTAGGTACAAATGACCCTTCCCTATACCTCGATTAGAATAACCCCCTACTAACTTAAGTATAGAACTAATCTACACACTAGTTAGGACTAGGAAACCCTAAAAGCCATAACCCCTAAGGAAGTTATAAACTAGAAGGAAGCTAAAGTAGTAGTAAACTACATACACTCTATATAGATTTATGCAAAGGAGAACATAGCTAAAGCATAAGAGGATATGTCTAAATACACGAATCAACGCTAACAAGCTATTAACTAGGACGTAGGAGACAAGGTTTACCTATTAACTAAGAATCTAAAAAATCACTGCCCTAGCTATAAGCTAGGGCAACAATAGGTTAGACCCTATATAGTACTAGAACAAATTAGACACACCTTCTAACTAGACCTACTAAAGGGTTCCTAAATACACAATGTCTTCTCTCTAGACGTACTTATTAAGGGTCTAAATAACCTGCTGCCTAGTTAAGCAGCACCTAAGCTAAGTAGCAAAGTTATAGACAGCTTAGAGGAGTAGGAGGTTGAAAAGATCCTTACTATAAGGATCTAGCGAAAACAACTTTAATACTAGGTATCCTAGGTTAAATATAATCTAGACCTAGAATAGTACCCTACCTTAAACTTTAAGAACTCCCCCTATAAAATCTAGGAGTTCTATATAGAGTACCTAAACCTACTAGGACTACTATAGGACCTACCTAGCTAGATTACAGAATAGGAGATAGGTAAAACAAGCTACAATTATAAGAGGTATAGTAAAGTAGAGGAAAACAGCGTCGTTGCTACCTACAACACTAAACTAAACACCCTCTAAGCTAGGGCACCCTTAGAGCTGTAGCCCTTATAGAAGCTACCCTTCCTAAACGCCTTACTAGCGTTATAACAAGTAGCTACTACTATAAGAGACAAAGGGTTAAAGTAACCCTACGTAAAAGACTACGCCTAAGTTCCCTCTAACATAGGGCCTATTACCTAAGGTTGACAGTTACCCCCTCCTCCTCTACCTCTACTACCTCCTCTACCCCCCTCTTCCTCTTCTTCCCCCTACTACTGCCTACCTTCGCTACTGTAGTAAGGGCGTTAGGGATCCTCTCTACTAACTCCCCTACTGCATCTACTATAGAAGCTACCCTATTAAGGGCAGCGATCTCCTTCTCCTAGTTTACTAGGATTAGGGCTAATTTCTAGCCTATAACAGCCATAGCCTAGCAGACCTGCTACAGTTGTTAGCGTAGGAACTAAAAACATAAGGGAAATAGAAAACTTACCTCTAGACTGTCCTTAACAGTAGCGTAGAGGGCGCAACTCTCTATATAGGCTGAAAGCTTAGCTAGGGAGCAGAACTTTAGCATATTAGTAGTAGCTAATGTAACTACACACCTAATCTCTGCTACAGCAGCCTTAATGGTAGCGGGGACAGGAGGGTTTACTACCTTAGCAGCTAGGAGCTTCTAGTACTCTAAGCTAGCAAACTAGGAGATCTATCTCTAAAGGTTAGCAATAGGCAGCTAAGACAAACCATAAAGCTAAAAGCTAAACAAGAACCTACTAGAACACACATTATATGTTAGACTACATAGCGCTTACACTTAGAGCTTTCTAAGCTCTATATACATAAGACAGCAGGATCTCTGTCCTTCTTACGCCCTTTAGCGCGTACGTAGCATATACACTACTAGTAGAAAGCTATAGTAAGGGCGCTAGGAGGAGGGGGAACTAGCATCTTTAAATTAGAAATCTACAATTTCCTATTAGCCTAACCTAAGTTATTACTACTACGCTAGCGCAGTTCCGTTACCTACTAAATTGTTAGTTGTGTTTTTGTATCTAAAAACAACCTATTAGCATCTAGCTATACTATTAGAAGGGCTACTTACTAGTCTTAGGAGGGGGGGTTAGCGTTGTTGTTATAAAGAAAACAACAAGTTGTAGGCAAAGCTCGAATTTATATTCTAGCTTATAATAAAGCTGTCTAAATTAGGTTAGCGCTAAATTTCCCCTTTACATTAAAATTCTATAACAACACATATACTACACAGACTCTATTTAATACTAATATAGACCCTTGCCTACTAATCGCCGTATACATAATAAAGACGCAACTTTGTATAAACGGAGTTAGACCACTTCTAGTGCCTATACAGCTGCCTACCATTAGCCTTCTAGACAAATAAAGGGCATTCTAGTCTTAGCGCCTACACCTTACCTACTAACCTAAATAAGGGCTCGTCGCAGCAGCTACTTAGCTTACGTGCTTTAAGGACAAAGCACCTTCTTAAGGCAGGGGGTAGTGTAAAGATGCCTCCTTACTTAGGGTAGTTACAGCCGTTACGTAGCGCCATTAAGACTTAGGGCTGTTATAGGTTAGTTGCAACTAACAGCCTTAGGCACATAACGTAAGGAAGCCTTAGGCAAATAGGGAGCTAGCTAAGTTAGAGTAGTTTTAGGTATTTTAAGGGAACAGCTATATAGGGTTACACCTTTATCTTTTTTGTATCCTTTATAGTAGACCTATAGGATTGCACTGACTACTATCTAACTTACACTCCTATATACAACTTCTTATAATACAGTGCCCTATATCCTTATATTATTTCTATGCTTAGTATAAATATAAGTCTATATATTCCTAGGTTATAATGCTTTCTACTATAATAAACTATATTAAATATAGTTATAAATAGTTTATACTAGTAGTTAATTTAACTTTCTTTTACTTAAACCTCTAATGTAGCTGTTAAATAGCTCTTTCTCTAAAAAACCCTAATTAGGAAAGGTAGTAGGTAATGCATTCTACTAGGCCATTTACTAAATTAGGTAATTAGGATCTAAACTACAACCTTTCATCTACTATATATTCTGCTATAATGCTCTAATTAGGAAAAGGAAACCTATTTACTATTACTAGACTTAATTCTAACAAGTTTTATACTAAAAGTTTCGTAAGTTTGTTCTAACCTTCACCCCTATTTTAGTATTCCTAACTAAATTCAGCTAGCTTATCTATAGTAGACTAAACCACTCTATTTAATTAAGTTACATATAACGTTATAGTTAAGATGATTAGTCTCTCTCTAGGAGTAGATAATAGTAGAGGCTTACATCTGCCGCTAAATAGAGTATAATGCTTTGTTGCCTTGTGCTAGCACGATCTCTAGTGTGAGATCAATCATTAGAATGAACGAGCACAGTTACTCTATACCTCGTTAATTAGCGCTGCTAGCGCACCGCTCCTAGGCCGTGCATGGTTTAGGAAATGGGGACTTGCCGCTGACCATCTCAACCCACCAATCTCTTAGACAGTCTATTATTTTGAAATATCCTATTAACTTGTATGTAATTAAAAGCTCTCCCTCTAATATTCCGCATGATATATTTTTAAGCCACTCTACCGAAAGATTCTTTGCTAGGACACTATGACTGAGCCTCTGAGCATCACTGCAGGCATTATAGCAGTCGCTAGCCTTGCCTGTTCTAGCAGTAAAGCAGCTGGAGTAGTGCGCCCAGTCTACCGCCAATGTCAGAGCACGAGTCACCACGCAGTGTTGGCAGTAGTGCAAACTATCAGTTTTACAGGCTAAACCAACCAACTGTTTATGTTATAATGCCTCCACCAACTGTCTTGGTTTTCGTAAGATTTAAAACCAACTAACTACTAAAACTGCAGTGCAAACTGCTATAACTGTATAACACTTCTGTAATTAGTTTTCATCTGCATATTAGGTACTGCACTAAAATTTGAAAATATATATATAGAAATTAGTACAAATTGTGCTAATAATTAAGTATATGTTTACTATTATACTAATAAATATCACGTGTAATACCTCAGTGCAAACTATCAGTTTGAACTGCATAAACTGTTTACTTTAGTCACACTAATAGTTTAAACTGTAGTGCAGGAAGAACTGCAGTTTTATGCAATTCGCTAAACCAACTGCAAAAACTGCAGTTTGAACTGTTAAACTGACTCACTACTGCCTACACTGTCACCACGCGCTTCACTATCCCAGCCTAGGCCACGATACCAGAGCAATCAAATTTAGAGAAATGCAAGAGCTCACCTGACATATATACACTTTCAGTTCGCTCCTCTCGGATTTAACTTTACGAGAAGCTGACACGCCATAGACTGGGAAAATTTCCTCAACCTCCTCCATTTGCAACACAAGCGTCCCCTATCGCCGCCAACACAAACCTGCCTGTCTGCCTGACACGCGCATCGACCTTCTACAAGAGATATATAGCTGGGCTGATGGACAAGATGAACAATGCATCTTCTGGCTGAACAGCCTGGCTAGACCGGGAAAGTCAAAAGTTTCCCGCACCGTCGCTCGCAGATACAATAAGCAGAAGCGTCTTGGAGAAGTCAATAATACAGGGCAATGGTTGTAATACTAGCTGCACCGTTCCTGAACTCGCTAATATCACCTTGACTTGTTTCCCATCAGTTCCCATTTAACTACTGCAACCATTCGTAGCCCAGTTGATGTTCATGGGTGCATAGGGCTCATCTCCGAGTCTCCTTCACCCGAGCTGCCAAATGCCGTCTTATATGACCCCTTCGATTTGACAGTCCCCCCAAACCCATCCAACACAGCCCCAGGATGGAACACCAACAACAACAGCACCGCAACCACAATCAGTACCCCTTCAAATACCAAAAATGTGTTCTCATCCTTCATAAGCTCACCATCGTAGCCACCAGCCATCTCGGCGACCCTGTAAATAGAACGTATAAGGATCAACATCGTCGCTGAGCCCAACGACCACAGAAATGCAGTCCACTTCTTCGACTGCGCCAACGAGGCATTTTGGATACTGGTGCTGACCTTGTGTGATGCGTGGGTGCGCCACAGGAACTCGAGGAAGAGAAACGCGAAGATAGCAATCGTTGCAACCTGGAACGACAGACCGCTGAGCATAATATTAATACCCTGTTGCCGACCCTCTGCATCATCTGCAATGGATGTGAGAGCTCCGCCTGCACCCTGGAGGCCTAGAGAGGTAGCGTCGCAGGTCAGGAATATAGGTGTATACCATGCTGGTCGCAGCCTGGACATTTTCGGTCCGCAGATAGCTACGATGCTGCCTAAGCAGATGTAGATGGCAGCGCAAAACAGAACAGGTGCAGTTGTAAGCACTATGATCTGTAGGAGATAGTAGTCCAGCGGAAATGGGTTGCCGTGGGCGAGGATGCGGCCTACGTAGCCTGCAAGCTCTAGAGAGATGCCGATTAGGATGGATATTGTGTAGGTCCATGTTTTGTAGCGCCAGCCATAGATTATGTGGCCAACAGCAAGGAGGCCGAAGAGGACTAGTGGAACTATTGCCATGGCGAGGTCAGGTTTGTACCTGAAGATTGAGCGGGATATTGGGCATATGTCGAAGTTGCAGTCGGAAACGTCTAAGGGTTGGTTGGGGAACCTGTCGGATTCAGGGAAAGGAGAAGCCATTGTGATGTTTAATCTAGGTTCTGAGGGTTTCCAAAGGTGTATTGAGAAGGACGTTGCTTATATGTACCCGGATATAGCGAGTGAGGGAAATGGGATGCAGATTTCAAAGTTGCCAAAGAGAATGACTTGAGATGAGTATCTGAATTAAAGCTTACCTCCGTTGTCTTCCTTTCGGGTCCTTATACTTTGATAGCTAAAGCACGTTACTTTACCAAATGGTGCCAATATCTCACTGAAAAAATAATAAAACGCAGCAATTTCACTCACAGCCAATGGAAATGAAACAATATTGCCCGTCATTACATTGTAGAGAGAAATGGCCAGTCACGGTGCGTATTGAGCCAATTGCGTCGCAATCCTCAGCACGGCCCGGGTCAGTGAGGGTGACCCATGGGAACAGTGTTCGGCACAGATCGTATATGACCTGAGCTGATCAGCATGCTGATCAGCATACTGATCCGGATATATCCTATCCGCCAGGCGTACAACCTATCCTTGCGATTTTGACGCTTTGCAGCAAACTAGTTAGGTAGGAAGTAAGCCTATTGTTAAAATTAGTAGTTAGGTAGGAGAATTAGTAGTGGGAAATTGATAATAAGGCTGGGACAGGGGGTCGTCAATTACGGCCTTAAAAAAGGTGGGGAACGGCTATCAGAGCACAGCACGTCGCGAAATTTTCCGTTTTCGGTCAGCTCTAAGAAACTAGTGTCTCAGTCACAATTTTGATGGCCAGACTATATAACGGATCCTACTTAAGTGGAATAGCGTATCTGCAGCTTATACGCCTCCTTTGAACTTATCCTATCCTATCTATAGTTGTCGTGTCCAGGCAGTAAACTCCTACTAACTAGATTCGCATATTTTTGCGACAAACTTTTGCGCTTCCACTGGTTAGTGCTTATGTTGCTGTTAACATTTTACAAGGTACTCTGGCCCTATAATGCCTCACCACACTGCGTTCAGTAGTTTTTCCGAGCATATATGTGTGATTTATTTGCCTCGCCGGCGCTTCACTTTTGTCAATCACAGCCATGGCTCGCCACGTTGGGAGAAGTAAGGGCTGCAAAATATGCATCCAACGAAAGGTTAAGGTGCGTCCATCAGTTTCGGAGTATATGCTTCAACCCTCGTTAAGACTAGAAGCGGCAGTCTTCCCTTCAGTGACTGATGAGATACGGTTTAGTGCGATGAGACGCTCCCCGAATGCTCGCAATGCCGTCGGCATCAAAGAAAGTGTCCTGGCCCCACCATCGGGGCTGTCTTCATTGACATGGATTGGAAGAAGCGTCGGGCTGTGACTACAGAAGAGAGCGTTCCTGCTGCCTTGCAACTTTCCGCCTCCAGCAAACTTAAGTAAATTTCGCCGATCCTTTCCAGCTTGAACGCGCACTGCTGACTTCTTTGTGTAAGAAACTCAATCACTGCGCGTCCTAGAGAGAACAGGTCTACCCAAACTGCGACATATTATTCAAGGGAAGTGAATGCATACAAGGTTTGTAATTTGCATCCCAATCTATGCGCACACTCACAGTTAAAACCCAGCTGCCGTCCCAACCACCTAGCCTAGCAAGTGTGAACTTAGTCCAAATAGTCTCTACATATGTTCATAATGGCCCACACAGAACTATGGGATTTTCTGTGCCGAAAGGCTCGTCTGTCAACTGGGTTCGCTATCTTCCCGATCTTTCCAACCGAGAGCCCATTCTCGATTCGGCGCTTGCAGCTGTGTGTCTTGCGCACATTGGGAAAACTCAAAAGGACGAGCATGTCCTCCGCATGGCTCGACTCTCTTATGGATTTGCGTTAAAGCATTTCCAGGCAGCTCTGATACTGGGACGGCGAGATGCCAATATCTTGTCTGCCATAAATTGCCTATCCGTGTATGAGGTGAGCAAATCTCCGCAATCCCACGTTTCTCAAATCCTCTCTCTCAGGTTGTCTGTTTTTACAGTTTGAATACTAGCTAATATTCCTAGCTTTACGACTCTACACTCAGCAACGCCATTGGCTATATCAAGCATATACAGGGCGGACAACTTGTCGCGCTAGATCTGAATCTTAGTGATCAATCTCCATTGTCTGATACCAACAGTTTTCACATTTTTAGGACCATGATGGTATTGTTCCAAATGCCTTCTCTACACTTCCATCCTAATTTCAATATAGCTCTATAACTCATTTGCTTCCCGGAAAGCATGCAGCCTAGCTCACTATCGCCGCCCCTCCTCACAAAAGTTCGGCAAAGGATTTTCTGAATTGGAAGATCTTGAAGATACCACAGTCCACATACCAGGCCTGGCCGAGCAGTCTGATATTCTGTTACATTCGCCATATACTATTGAATCAATGCACTTGTTTTCAAATATCTTCAGCCGATGGAGAAACTTGACCTACCAGCTTAACAACTGGTACTTTCGACTCTACCAAAGGCACGAAGCTCCGTTCGACTATGACAAGGTAGAGCCAGGGCCCCAGGACCCATACCCTGGAATTAATTTTGGGTCACGATTCACGTTTACATCGTATTGGATCGCCGAATCATTGATGCACTACTGGGCTAGTCGAGTGCTATTATATGATGTCCTAGCGCAGGCTATAACGTGGTCAATCCAGCAAGGTTTAATGCATGCACCAAATAGCCTCACACTAGGGCCACTGCCGATGCTTACATCTCCAAGTGAGCAAATATATCAAGACGCATCGATAGAACTTGCATTCCCACATGATATCTCTCTCTGTGCTGCCTTGGTACAACAATGCCAGGATAAAGCGGCACGTACCGCGTTAAAAGGTGTGCAGTATATTTCAGTTGAGAAATTAGGGATACTGGCCTCTTTGCGAACTTTTATCCCGTTATATATTGCAATTCAACATTTTGAGAAAAGGAAGTTGATGGAGGAGTTGAATCTGTGCTGGGCTATGGCGAGGAAGTTAAACAAAAGCGAATTGGCCATATGGAAGTTGCTCGATCTAAATTCGAACGGGTGGAGGGGTATAATTGAGAGTGGTAGTGGCTATATGAATTGCAGTTGAGATTCGCTTTGTCTCCGAACCGCAGCTGGAGCCAGTATGTACTATGTCTCAATTAGGTCTTGTCCCTCGTTCCACACCTCGTATATCGGGGTTGTTCGCTCTTGCTGCGCCGTCGACGAATCCTTCGTCAAAGCCAGCGACGTCGGCCGGCTTCCCATATCTTGGTAGTTTGAAGCAGTTGTTCTCGAGCGTGCGGGGAGCGGCACCTGTTGAGCCGAACTATGTCGCCGGTTTCCTTGCTTATTGCGCAAACGAGCCTGCGCTCAACCTGTTAGTATCCTTAACGTGGCGCAGCTGATACCGTCTTAGCGCAACCTGTAGACGATCATGCGACCGATCTTCCAACTGGCGCAGTTTTATCTGCAGGAGACATTGCGCTATACGTATCTGTTGCAGTGCTTCCGGCTGACAGTGTTCCCGCAGATCTTGGGGTCGTTCGCGTGGGTATTCGAGCTGGTGCTGGACGAGATGCTCCATCGATTCTAGCAGTGGTTGCCATGGCGGCCCTTCGGCAGAAGTCTAGAGTTCTGGCTATGTCTTGGTCTTGTTAACTATGTTTGGATTCAGTTGTACATGACTAGTCACGCGAATTTTATTGCCGTGAAAAAAGTGTTAGCTACAAGATAGCTTCAAGAGCTAAATCTTGCAATTGTACAACATTAGGTAAAAGAGCAAAGGAATAGGGCAACTTCTGCTGTTCCTGTTAGCGACGACTTTTAACCATTAGCAACTATGAACTTATCATTCCGCTGTTAGCAGTCTCTTCTTCACATTTAAACTAGGTAGATTTCAACATGTGCAAGAGAACAGTCTTAAATTTAATGAACAGATCTGTCCTATTTTAGGCGAGGATAAGCTGATGCAATAACGAGCGATCGACAGTGACTTAACCGTGTACTAACTAACTATAGGAGCCGACAAATGTAGTCGGCTCCAATTACGGATCTGTCTTCGACGCAAAATTTATATAACTATATCCGACCTTAGATCTACAATTGTCTCAGTTGTCTTCTTTTAGGAAATGTTTATCTCATCATAGTTACGGCCGTAGATAGATCAAGTAAGTTTAACGTTACGGCCGTTCTTTTGACTATCCGTATGACCCGTATCATGAGCCATTATAAATAGACCCTTTAGCCACCATCACAGAAATCCAAAAGACATTCAGCTCCAAATCTCAAATACACTACACTTAAATCAGCTCTACGACAAATAGTGAGGATATTGGTATGTTAGACTACGCTGTCTGTCACTGTTTTCATGCTAAACTGCGCAAATACAGAAACGATGAAATACTCATTAACTACACTCGGCGCTTATGGCTTTTGTCTACTCATTTCAACAGTTTTTGGTAGCCCATTAACTTCAACATCTGCGCATTCTGTTAATCTCAATACCCTTCTTGCTGCCCCTCTGCCACCAAACGATATCGATATCACAAAAGCCCACCCTCTAAACAATTACAACATGATCGGGAATGAGTCATGGGTCATCACAGAGCACCCTTCACTAGGCCTACACTGGATATACCACAATGAGACGCAGAGTCCTCTCGAGACACGCAATGATCCAACTAGGTTTGGCTTTAGTTATGAGGCGTCAACTCAAATGGACGGCCAAGCACCATCTAGTTCATCCTGCAACAATTACATCACCTCATTCAGCAACTCGGGCAACTGCTTGAACGTTGGGAGTCAGATCGCGGGCGGTTCCACTAACCCAAATGGAATGGGAGCAATTTCTGTTTTCACAGAGTCTGACGACGATCATTACCGAATTAATGTCTATGGTCCGCCATGGTCAGCTCCTGAGACGGGGCAAAGTTTATGCCAGCAGTTTATATACGCCCTGAGAGATATTTCGTGCTTTATGGTGCAAGGGGCCACCGTTTACGCAATTCTCCCTTACTATACGTCTTAGGAAGGTGGACCGTACGGGCAGTTTAAGTTACGGTTCACATGCGGTGATGCCTAATATCTGGTTTAATGCCTGCTACTATAGGCATCCCTCATGTATTTAGATTCCCTCCCGCGTACTCTACTTCTTACCTTCCTTATGTTTAGTTGCTTCGTTGAATGTTACTACGTTAGTTGATGTCTGTCTCAACCTAGAGTGGTTGGTAGGTTGGTTAATGTGATTTACCTCAACCCCTTACACAAAGGAGTTAAGACCTTAGGCTGAGATATAAGCGTGATAATCATGCTCTAACTATGTAATGTAATAGTAAATTATTAGCAGTTTTGGGTTTCCGAGCTAAAGAACCCTTGCCGTGTCCTAAGTTTAGATTCTTAGCTTAATTAACAATGGTTTGCCATAGAAAGAGATGCATCTAGCTATTATCCGTACTTTTCTAGAGGAGCATTAGATCCCTCCTAGTTACTAGTGCGCTATTGCAACAAGGTAAAGAACAGAGTCTTTAAATCTAACGAATAGAATTATTTAGTTAATTATATAGTTTTACTTCTATGAATTCCCTTATTCTTTATAAATATCTAGACATAATATGTTATAGCTTACCCTACCATTAGCGCTAGACAAGGGATTAGCTAAGAAGCTATATGTAAGAAACTATAGTTATTAGTTAAGAGGAGGATATAAGAATGTAATTATATAAACCTAATCCTAAGGGGATCTAGGATTGTCTAAAGAGCTTCTAGGTATTATCTAGGGATTGTCTAAGTAGTAGATAGGTGTTATAGCTATAACGCAACATAATTAGCTGGAAAGTTATATACACTAGAACACTAGGTTCTAAGAACTAGTCAAGCCCAAGTGGGGTAAAGCCGTTCCTAGGTTGCCACATGTGTTTTGTCACGCCTCGCGTGCTGACCCAACTGTGCTAGCACGCGAGGTGTTCTAGAGCGGGAGAAGTGCTACAACCTGCGTGCTGCCCCTAATAATCCCGTAGCACATTTGGGTCAAGCCCAGTCGTGTGCCAGCGATGGTGAACACTACGGGTTTGATCACGTGTTGATCATGGCAAAATTGAATAGCTATGCCACAATGGTGCTATCCTCCGTACATCGCAAAGAAACCCATGGAGTGCGACCGCTGTAATGCAAGTTGCGTAGAAACACCAGGAAATGGGAAGCAGTTTGTGAGGAAAGGCTTACCATCGGGAGGCAAGAAGTGGATTGCCTTGTTACGCTCTCAAGCAATGGTCAATACTAGGCATATATATTAAGCTCCCTTTTGTGAGGGTTCTCTCACACTTGCTGTGACTACAATAATAAACGTCATGGGCAGTCACACAATAGATCTGTTCCGATCCACCAACAATTTATTAATAGATATGCAAGCTACGCCTCGAATAGATTTCCGCGCTCCAGGTTTCATCCACCAGAATAGGTCTCCCCAGCCACTAATGAATCTTAACGCCTGCCGCCGCTACCGCTGCCAGGGAAGCCTCCATCCTCGCAACTAGGCGAATACGAAGGCGGCGCAATCTGATCCGGCTCGACAATATAGACCAGATTCGGCTTCCCCGTGATATACCCCCAGCCGCTATTCTGCGCCAGCGACGAGCACGAGCTGAGCGTATCCTCGAGGGCCTTGCCGATCGTGGCGCGGTTCACGCTTTGCGTCTTAACGCCGCAGCCGTCCTCCTGCTGATTGCGGACGGTGAGCTTGCAGATGCGGTGGCTGGTGTGGAAGTCCTTGCTCTGCTTGGGCGCGAAAGAGATGGTCGTGTGCGAGCGCTCCATGCTGGCGTACAGCACCTCGCAGTCGTTCTCGTACGCCTCCTGCTTCTGGCGGATGGTGATGTGGTTGTCCCAGCATTCTTCGTGCTGGCGCTTCGACAGCGGCGAGCGCACGCTGGGGAGAAATCGCGTCGGGTCGCTCGGCGGGCTGTCGACCATGATTATGTCGAGGTGCGGCTCGAGGGCTTCTGTTGTAGTTGGGGCGGTGGTTGTTGGCGTCGCGATGGCGAGGGTTGCGAGTGCGGCGGCGGTGCCGAGGAAGATGCTGAGGGCGACCATTTTGGCAATGTAAGACTTTTGGCGGCTTGAGGCGTGTTGGAGGAGGAATTCACCGACAGATCTGATTGCTGTTTGGAGATAATTCGAAGGGTATTAGGACGTCTTATATAGCATTCGACAAGCCAACATCTACCTAGAATCCGTCTCGTGTCCAAATTTCCAGCGATCCACAAGTGTCTCACAATACCATATATGTATATGTATATATATATCCAACGTTTCTTAGGTACACCTCCCTGGTTTGTTCTACATATGGTCCAGAGCTTTGACGGGGGTTCAGTCCAACACGATGCCATATTCGGTTACCGCGTCGTAGACTACGATGCCATATTCGGTTACCGCGTCGTAGACTGCGACAACAAGCTTCCGGGATGCAGTAGCGCCAAGAATATCCCGCAGCAGTCATAATTTCAAGATCGCCATCAGCTTCTTTTGCAGCTAAACTGTGCCCGTGTATGCTTGTGAGTGGCTTCGACTTGCCGATCGTTATTTGAAACGGTATGCGACGATTCGCTGTCGGATGTTTAGGGCTGTGAATGAAATTTCAGCTTGCTGTCGGTACAGTCAGGAAGTGACGTTTACGAGTTCATGCTCCGTTGCCTCTCTTGTCCTTAGAGTCAGCTACAATATCGTCCCGTTCAATAAGCAGCTTTACTACTGCCTCATGCCCTGAGGGCGGGCGACGTGGGCGGAATTAAGATGATCAGCCTGAGGATCGTGTCACTCACTACTTTATCTAAAAGTTGTGGGCCTGGTTCCTAATGGCCGCGCGGGACCACCCATTTAGGGGTCATTGCAATAGAAATGATGCAGAAAGGCGTACCTCCCGATCCGGGACACGAACTCATCCTTAGACACCTAGACCAGTGGTCACTAGAAGAAGCAAACTTTCTAGCTATGGCATCTTAGAGCAGTCTAGATATCCTTGACAATGTGAGCCACTCTAAATCTATAACCAGCATACTCTAAAATGCTTGTCGCCAACTGTAATGATCCTACACATAGAGTCTACTTAATAGAACACGATTAAGGAAGGCAGGACAATTTCTTAAGGAAAAGAAACAGAGTAGCAGGCGGTCCTAGAGGACCTCTTATTAGAGTATGCATGAGCTAAAGGACTTAATTTCACGTTAATTTCAAACATAATAAACTTATGATTTAATCGTCGGAACCGACCCTATTGCATAGGGTCGGGGTAAGCAAAGAGCGTTCGCGGAAGCAAACGGCGTTCGCCGCCAGCGCTCACCGCCACTTCGTATCGTATCCCCATCCATAACCTCAACATATCTATAGCTTATAATTTGTATACTACAACTATGTAATTGAAATGGAAGACCCTATTTTATCCGATGCTCGTGAATGGCTTGCGGCAAACCCATCTGAATCCGTTGCTGCCGCAAGCCGGATTTTCAAAGTATCAAAATCAACGCTTCAATCATCAATTACTCGACTTAATCGCACACGAGTTGGCCGCGGAGGACATAATAAGCTCCTTACAATTGCTCAAACAAAGGCCCTTAAAGAGTGGATAACTACGCAATACAATCAAGGGCTTAGAGCAACGAAGCAGATGACATTTGCTGCTGTTTGCCATATTCGACGGCTAAAACCACCGCCTTCATATAGTTGGCTTACGAAATTCATAAAGAATGAGCTTTCTGATTTTCATATTATAAAAACGAAGCCTATTGCTCTACAGCGGGTTCAAGCTCAAGACGAGAGCGTTCTTCAAAAGTGGTTTCATAATTATAACGATTATATCACTACTCGGAATATAGGAGTAGATTCTATATGGAACATGGACGAGACTGGCTTTCAGATTGGAATTCCAGGAGGCGAACAAGTGATAGTTCCACACGGAGTTACAGAGCTATATACAGGAAGTCCTGAGAATCGAGCTTCAATTACAGTAATCGAAGTTGTGTCTGCAAGTGGAAGAGTTACTCCGCCAATACTCATTATTCCAGGCAAAGTCCACATGGACTCATAGTACCATCCAAGTCTTGTTGGCACAGAACGGGTTCTATTATCAGAATCAGGATATACGAACGACCAACTTGCTATGGAGTGGCTTGATCACTTCATTTTCCACACGCAAAGCACCCCTACTTCTGACGTTAAGCTACTATTATTAGACTCTCATAGTAGTCACCGAACGCCAGAGTTTACAATATATGCAGCAGAGCATAATATTATCACTTACGCCTTCCCTTCGCATCTTACCCATATTCTACAGCCATTAGATGTTGGTATTTTCCAGCCTTACAAGCACTGGCACCGCGAAGCAGTCCATTCTGCGATACGGAACCTTGATCTCTAGTATAATATACGCTCGTTTATGAGAGATCTCTCTACTATACGAGAGCAGACTTTTAAAGAGCTTACTATTATTCACGCATTTAAAAAGGCAGGAGTATGGCCTATTAATTATGATAATGCACTTGCGAAGCTACGGAAATACTCAAAACCAGCTCCTACTTTACCATCTATTATACCAGCCTCTTTTCAAGAGTCTGAAGAGCAACTACAGCATTGGAAAGTTACGCTTCCAGTCCTACTTAGTAGCCCCTCTCAACAGCAGTATAATAATTGGGTTGTTGGAACGGAAGTGGTATTAGCTCATGGCCAACTTCAAGAGCTTAACGTCTCAATTCTACAACGTCAGGTTGACGGCCATAAGAATAGGGGGCGTGGTAGCCGCAAACGCCTACAAATTGGAGGAGCTCTTACTGTAGAGGATGCGCGAGCTCAGCAGGCTGAAAAGGCAGAGCGAGAAGCAGAGAAAGAGGCTTCTAAAGAAGCCCGGATAGCCCGTCAGGCTACCAACCAGGCCCGTAAGCAACTCTATAGGGCAGGAGTTGATGCCCGGAAGCAAGAACGCCTCCGGAAGAAGAGGGTAAAAGCCTGTCAAAAAGCTGGCAATTCAATTCCTATAGAGGACCAAGACCCAATTCCGGATCCAGAGGCAGAGAGCGAAGGTGAGAGTGGGAGTGGGAGTGGGAGCGAGCATGAATTTGAGTGGGATGGACATGAGAATTACGAGTAGTTATTCAATTGAAGTATCTTTTCATATAAATTACTATGTAATGGTACCTACAAATTTTGGTGGTTGCGAACGCCGTTTGCTTCCGCGAACGCTCTTTGCTTACCCCGGCCCTATGCAATAGGGTCGGTTCCGACGATTAGCACTTTATACTATTTATTAAAGTCTTCTTCTCCCTAGTACTTATAGCCACCATTCCGCCCTACGCTACTTAATAAGTTCAGGAACTAATGTTCTCCTAATAGTACTGTACTTATTTACAGTGCTATGTCCGTTTATAGTACTATAGCTATTTATAGTATGTTATATATAGTATATAGTTAATATACTATATCTTTAATAATAGATAACTATGGAGGAAACCCTACCCTAGCTAAGTTAAGTATATATTAAATAAGCACTAATTCCTCTAGGTTAGTTAATTTCTATAAATTAGTAGGAATATTATGTTATATAAGTATACTATAGTTCTAGTAATAGAGCTTCTTATAGTTAACTTTATAGAGCTTACCTATAGCTCTTACGCTTAGCTTTAAGTTAGTTTTCATAGCCTAGGGGGCTAACATAACGTCTCTTTCATCATTTTTTTAAGGCATCGTTTATAGTAGAGAAATGTAGTGTTTTATGTAGTTGTTGCATTAGCGCATCTAAGTGGGACTTTCGCTTGTCTAGGACTTTCGCTATACATGTACGTTATATTGTTCTATTTACTATATTCTACTGTTAAAGCCTCTGCCCTGCTGCCCGTAGAGAGTTATTACGGAAGCCAGAGATTTTCACACGATTTTGTGTGTGGTTCTCCGTATTCCTCAACTACTCCCAACACAAAGGTCTCTAGTACTAGCGTATGTGCTGTTATGCGTTGTAGATAGGCAGCGACGTAGAGTGGTAACGGTGTTAGGCGACGGAAATAGGGACGGGTAATGGCAACGTGGATGGCGATGGGAATATACGACGGCGATGATAATAGGTAGTAGGGAATAGGTATCAGGGGTGGGAATGGACGGTAGAGGTAGAGGATGGGCGATGGGATAGGAATGGGTAACGGGATGGGATAGAGATAGGATGGATATAGACGATGGGATGGGTAATAAGATGAGATAGAGACAGGCAATAGGAATGGGCAACGGGGACAGGCATATCTCATTTGTATTCATGTCATCGTTACTATAACTACACTCCCTCTAAACAATACAATCATCTCCCCTCAACTGCACCTGCGACGCGCTCGAGAAACCCATTAAACTCCTTTAGCCGTCTCAACAATCCTCCCTCCAGACTCTTATTACTTGCCATCGCAGCAACCTTATCGATCACGACAGGAAGAGGTGGCTTTGCGAGAGAATCGCCCGATGTAGTGTCCCGACCGAGAGATGCGGCGAGGGCGACGTCGTGGAGTGTTGTCGACAGCGATATCAAAGTCTAGAAATTAGCAACGAACTGTAACGCTAGAAAATAACATACCTGGTTCTCCTTCCCCTCCTCCTCATGCTGAATCCTCGCGGCATCCATCTTTAACGCAACCTGCTCCCGCTCAGCCCTCAACCGCATCAACTCCGCCCGCAGCTCCCCCTTCTCCTTCACGACCGCCCGAACGCGCTTTCTCATGGCATACTCCGCATCGAGGGAGATCGTTAGCTCCATCAGCTTCCACCGCGCCTCCTCCGCAAACGCCTCGACCGCGAGCAGCTTGGTTCGGTACTCGCGTCTCTCCGCTGTCGAACCTGCTGCCTCCAATCCCCGCCCCAGTGCATCGACAGCGCTCCCAGAGAATTCGTCACAGGCCTGCGCGAGCACGTCGACAGCATTGACGCCGCTGCGAGATGCGAAGGGAATCGCGCGGTTGAGGATGTCGTCATCCGAGTCTGAATCATGGCGCGTCATCCGGTATGCGGTGACAGGGACTGCCCCTCTTCTCTTTGCGCCCGTAGGTTTGCGTGTTTTCGGGGCGCGTTGTTTGGCTGGCGATGCTTTGGTTGGCGGCCCAGACGTCCGACGTTTGCTGCGGGTTGGTTCTGCCTCTTCAAGACCACTGCGTCGGCGGCGTTGGGATACGAGCTTCTTTGCTGCATCGGCGATGGGGATTTCTTCGGCTTCCTCTTGCTCGTCCACGTCGGGGATTTCTTCGGCCACCTCTTGACCTTTCGATGTTCGCTCTTCCGGTTCCTCTTCCAAAGCGCTGCGCCGGCGACGTCGAGATTTCTGCTTCGCCACATCCGTGTCGGGAATTTCCACTGCATTAGGTTCTTTGGGAGCACTTCGACGGCGGCGTTTCTTCGCCGTATCGGCATTGGATATTTCTTCACGTTCCGGTTCTTCAAGACCATCTCCACGGCGGCGTTTCTTTGTTGCATCGGCACTGGGAATATCTCCAGCTTCTTCGAGTTCGTCCGGCTCCTCACGAGAACTTCGACGGCGGCGTTTCTTAGCTGCATCGGTATTGGGGGTCTTTGCAGGTTCGACTGTATCCAGTTCTTTAAGGGCACTTCGTCGGCGTCGAGAACTCGTCGCATCGCCATCCAATGTTTCCTCCACAATCTGTCGCTTCCCACGTTGAGTCCTTGGTTGATCCGGAGACAGTTCGTCGACCTCTTTCTCTCCAGATCGAGTCCTTGGTTGATCCGGGGAGAGCTCATCAATCTCATCAACTACGTCAAGCTCTGGCGATGGTACTGTCAGCATCGACTTCCTCGTCCGTGTCGCATCTCGTGGCGTCTTTAACTTAGTCGGAGTCCCTCGCTCAGCTGGATCAGACGAAAGATGCTGTCGCCGGCCACTTCCAGGCGCATTTCTCGGGCTTTCCGTCACCTCTTCATCAATGCGGAGCGCGACTGGATTGATGGATGAGAGCTCATCTTCTATTTCCCGCTCTGGAGTCTTGGTATCCTGTGGTGGTCGTCTCGCCGACGTTTTATCCCCACCTGCCACCTCGATCCGCTGTCGCTTCTCTGCCCGATTGTCACTTGGTGTTTTCTGTTCGATCCTCTTCCGCGTACTTCCAGATCGTCTCGATGAAGATGATCCTCGGCCTCTAGTCGGAATTACCCTCGCAGCTCGCGACGAGCTTGGCGTCACTGCGCTTCTTGTTGTTCGTGGTGCTGGCGGGGCAGGGGGAAGTGTGAAAGCGAAGTTGATGTCCTGGGGTTCTCGTGTTTGCGCGCCCCGAAGACGCTGTTGGCGCGCGGCCTTGCGATCTATAAAAGTCAGCAACAGTATATACATAATCGTAGAATAGTAACGTACTTGTCGCCATGGTTGGTGGTGCATTGATTGTTGAGGCGCAAGTGGTGTGTGGTGGTGTGTTGGAGACGCGTTTGTTTGCGGGGGACGCGGCGCCGTGTCAAAGGGTCTGGGCGGTTGGAAGTATCACAATAGCTAAATTTGGCTGAGTTGGTACTTTGCCAGCTTGGTGCTTGTGGAAGGTTAAATGTCTGGCACTTCGGAAGTCACTCCACATACAATTTTGGCTGATTGATACACGGCAAGTTCCAGCAAGGCCAAAGTTGGCAGCCGCGTGCCTGTAAAGCCAAAATTGTAAGCCCAGCAACATATATACCACCGAACTCATCGGAATACTTTCTTCATTCTCAAACACCCAACGCACTGAAATTTGAGTTCATGATAATGACAGCTATATCTCAATCTGTAACTATATTTATTTGTATGTTTACTATCCCACCGCTCCGCTAGGACTAGAGGAAACTACACCCAAGATGAGCTGCTTCGCAAAAGTCCCAGCGAAGGCATTTTTGGGTTCCCGAATCCTTTGACGGAACAACAAAATCCGTGGAGTCTCAACGAAGCCAAATTGTACGTGAAATTCCTTACCAAGCAACGCAGGAGCATGGGAAACAGGCGTGTGCATGGACATGGAGCCTCAAGATGGCAACGCGCAGCACGTGACATAAGCTTACCCAAGTGAGAGTGGATGTCTCATTCCATGATTTCAGGGGTTCAATGCTGACTTGGGACTGATTCAGCGAAGGAATGGGTTTCATATCTGAAGAGCTTTGGGTCTCGAAAGCGTTCCCACGCGGTTTCAATCGCCATCAACGTTGAGATAATGGACAGACTCCATGATCAGTCCAAAGGCCTAGCATGCCAAGGGCCTCATTCCAAAGGCACGCGTTCTCACCGGCAACACAATGGGAACACAGCAATTTTAAACTCAGCCTCAGTTCTGCACTGACCCTGCGGCTTACCCTCTCATATAGTAGCTTTTTTCCCATTTGTAGGGGTGAGAAATTAGCTCTCATCCAATCCAACGATTGGCTCTGAACCCCAACCCAATCGTTTTTCTCATTTAAGCGCGGCAGTATCGGGTGTCGAATCCTTCTCAGCCACCTCAGCTTCCCCTTCCTCCTTTAGTGAGGATGGTACCCGACGGACGCTCCCTCTTCTTTAAAGTTCGACAGGTCCCTCGCTCCACAATTTAATTGATACCACAACTCCCACCCAATTCTTGGCCTGTTGCTTCCACTGCCCGTCTAACCTTCTCCATGGCCTCAACTCTCCGCGCAGTCACTCTTGTCGCCTGCCTATTGTCGCAGGTTCAACACGTTCAGTCGAAAATATGCTACGAGTCTAATGGCTTTGAAAGTACGAGTTACTATGATTGTGCACCCGACGCCGCCGTGAGCGCGTGCTGCCGACCGGGTGATATCTGCTACACCAATGGGCTCTGCCATCCTGGCCCCGATGCAGAGCAAGGAATAACTCCTTGGTACTGGCACGGTTGCACTGATCCCACGTTCCAAGACCCGAGTTGCTTCTCTGCTTGCTTTGCTGGTAAGCCTGTCCAACTGCGAGGGTGTTCTTGCCTTTATAACCGTCATATCGGCATTGGCGTCCAGCTTTCATAGTCCTGATGCTAACAGTCAAATAGTTACTGGCGACGGCGTGTATAGTTGCCCAAATCAAGGCCCGAACAAATGGTGTTGCTACGGCCTTGGAGGATGTGATTGCAATAACTCTACCCAAGTTGTGTCGGCTCTGGCTGGTAGTATCATTACTACTATCGATTTTGGGGTCACATCCATCTCAAGTACGAAGACTACGAAGACTACAGCGACAACAACTCCAACCAGCGACTCTACAACCACAACAACAACACCCCCAACAACAACCGCCGGAAAGGAAACAACGACGGACGGAGGGGCAGCAGCAGGGGAAACAACAGGGCAAACAGCAGGAACTACGCCCACTGAAACGCCAACTTCGGAAAAGAGCAAAAGCAATGCTCTCCCAATTGGTGTTGGTGTCGGAGTTGGTGGCGCAGCTGCGATCGCGATAGCCGGCCTAATATTCTTCTTCATGCGCCGTCGAAAGCAGCAAGTAGCAGCAGCCCAGATGATTGGCCCAGAACCAAAATACACCGCTGCTGCACAGGTGCCGCAGTATGAAATGCCTGCGAGGGGGGGGAATGCTTCTGAACTACCCGCTGCGCCTCATCCAATAGAGTACTACCAGGAATTGCCTGCGGAACGGTGATTGGTATGATAACGAAGGACAATTACATGTACATATGGAGTTACGGGTGTGCTTAGCGATTTAGCAACTATTTGGTATTTCCCTGTCTACTTTATATTTATATGCGACCAAGATTTTATCCGCGTTTCCGTCCATTGGTAGATGTGTCAAAGTCGTGTTTTTTAACCTTAAAAATGTTTAGTTTTGGGGGCTTCGGGCCGATCCGTTCAGCTGCATGTGCGCCGTAGATGGAGGAAATGGCACCCAAAGTCTCAGCACCAGCTGCATATCCTTAGCTGATACAGACACATAAAGAAACTCTCATACTTCCCCGACGGCAGAGAGCTTGATTGATCCCTTTGATCCAGCCTCCTCGCTATATCCAAGCTGCATACACATGTCATCCTGAACGCGATTGAGGCCGAACCACTTTTCACAATACAAAACACGGTTGAGGGCTACAGAGCAGAGTAATTAGCTGCTTCTATGATGCTATGATAGACGGCCTCTTTTGACACGACCTCTGTCCTGATTCACAATCAGGCCAACATCGCTCTGACAGTCTCCTGAATCGACCGAGGCTTACACCCCCTTTTCGACAAAAGATCACTGAGAGTAGAATCCGTGACATGACACTCATTGCTCTTCAAAGCATCGTAGCTCGTAGACCACCACTCCACGTTTCCCCTCTCCATCCCCATGTCCTCAACATAATATCTGACGTACTCTTCCCTCGAAACAACTTTCAAGCTCACCTGAGTACCCTTGACCTCAGACACGATCTCAGCTATCTCCGCCAGTGTCGTCGCCGTCGGTGCTGAAAGATTGAATGTTTTGCCTTCGTATTTCGACGACGAATCTGCAACCACCAAAGCCGTGGTGTATCCCAGGTCTCGTATAGGTGTCCAGTTGATCGGCCCATCCCCAGCAACCACAACTTCCTTCCGAGGATCATCTTTCAGTTTGAAATAGTTCCCAAAGTATAGTGGCCATGACTCGTTATATAACCCTTCGCGAATGACTGTGAACTTGACATCTTTCAAGCCATAGAGATACTCCTCGGTGCGGTTGTGAGCCCGCATAACTCCAGCCTTGGAGTCCGATCCAAATGCCAGAGATAAATAATAAATGTGGTCTACACCAGCCTTCCGTGCAGCATCGATCGCATCAAAGTGATGCTTTTCGCGACCCTCCCCATGAGGAGCGTTGTTGAAGTCCATGGAGATACGTGGCGACGAGACCAATACGAGCTTGGTGCAGCCCGAATACGCGCTCTCCATAGATGGCTTGTCATCATAGTTGGATTGGCGCACTTGGGCCCCTTGTGATTTAACAGAGTCCCATTGGGTATCGGAAGGCTTGGATGAGGTGCAAATCACAAGTTGGTCCGCAGGGATGAGGCCATAATTCAGAATTGCCTTGAGGATAGCACCCCCCAACTTCCCAGAGCAGCCTGTCAAAGCATACATGTCGTACATAGACAACTATAGTTCAGCTTGCAAAAGATAGATATAGAGCACGAGGTTGGATTATGTTTGGATGTTCTCCAACCATTTATATCTTATCTCACGATAACAAAATAGACGTCATTTTGGAGTCCGCTTGGTAATCATTTCATAGTAAAGTCAATGGCTTGGCTTGGTAATCATTCCATTGTGAAGTCAACTACAGCGCACACATCAATTCCAAACACAATAACTCAGACAGGACCCAGTCGCTCAAATGCAAACTAAGCCGCGCAAATGTCCTAACTCCGTGTTCTCTCCAACAAAATCCCACTATCCCAAACTCCATCCAATGTAATCCTTGACAAATTATGCAACCCAACTCCGGCGTCTTCCATTGACGCTGCTTGAGCCGGTCGTATCCTCAATACCTTCCCAGGGAAGGTCAAGCTCGGAGTCCTCCCCAGAATCCTCACCCTCGGGATCTTGCTCAGACTTATCCTTCTTGAGAGCATCGACGTCAATCCCAATATCCATGAGCGTAACTTCAACTTCCTTCTCACTGAGCTCTTGGCCAGTCTCCTTCTGTCCCTCAAGAACATCGTAGAGCGCGTAAATTTGATCCGCCTTCGTGTCAATTGCCTTTAACAAACTCTCAATTCTGGCTTTGACAGCCTTGCGTTTGCGCATGCTGAGCGATGGATCATGTTTGTTGTAAACGGCCTGATACTGGGCCAGTTCAATCTTCAGGTGGGCCAGCTCGTCCTCAAGACCCTTCATGACTGTAGCAAGTGCAAGGCCTGGGGTGACAGATGGGCGCATTGTCGGCTCATCTTCGTATGGCCCAGCAACGGGCATGCGATCAGAGACGGGGATAGGCTTCTGGATTGAAACAGTTTGCTTCATCTCGTTATTCTCAAAAGAGGCCACGCGTGTGCAAACCGTGCAGTTACCGCCATCATGGTGGCAGAGCGTGTCAAGGACCTTCTTGGCTTTGGCGGAGAGGGTTGGGTGGCCGCCGTTCATTGCTACACTCAAAGTGATATCCGGGATAATGAATGCCGAGGTAACCTCCTCCGTCGTAATGTGGCGGCGTGCTGTGCGGGCCTTGATGGAGGTCTCAGAATGGCGTCGCGTATGAGACATTGAATGGGAGGTATTGTCCTGGTCTTGTTTGGCTGAGTTGCGATTTTTGAGAATACCAGTGAGTCCCTGGGTGACCGGGGTCGATTTCGCCGATCTACTCGACGCAACTGAATGGGACGTGTGCTCATGGTTTCCCGCACCGGCGCTGAGTTCTGCGTTTCGGGCTCTCTCATTCGCGAGCATTTCTCGGAGACGATCCATTTCCCCATGGCCCAGAATGCTTGAATAGTTTGAGCCCTGGGTCGCGTCTTCTGCATTGACATTGAGGTCCTTGTGAACAGTCTTTGTAACATCATCAAAGGATCCTTCATCGCTGGCGTCGTCAAAGTCTTCATTGGTGGTTCCTGCTGGAGGGATATCGAAGGTCTCCTCCTCGGCATACGACTTGACATTTCTTGATTGGGTGTGGCGGGATTGCGAACGTGATCGTGATCGCGACTGCAAGCGTGCTGGCACTTGCTTCCCAACGACTGCCTGGACACGGCCGCGGGTGCTTGACCGAGGGTTGCTTGGCTCTTTCTGAGCCTGTTGCTTTTGGACGACTGGTTTGCGAGTCTTGACGCTAGCGGTATTCGCCAGGCGAGCTTGTTGGATCTCTTGAGTCATTTCGCGGAGTTCAGCAACGGCAGCTTCACGTCGGCTAATCTTCTCACGAAGGCCAGTTTCTTTTTGCCTCCACTGTCGAGTATTCTCCTCCGAGTCGGTGCTGAGTCGCGCCAATTCAAGCTTCAGATCACCATTCTCACTCCTGAGGGCATTATTCTCAGACTGCAGCTGCTCCGTCGTATAATACGCCTCAGCAAGCTGTTTAGCCGCCTGGTCGCGCTCGAATGATATAGTCTTGAGGCGCAACTCCTGGTTGGACGACTTTCTCTCAATCTCGCTGTAACGAACCTGTAAAGACTTGAACTGTGCTTCTATTTCTAAGGCGATGTTAGTGGTTAATATATATGAGTCGATGGGGTTTACTAACTGGTCTTCTCAGCTACGAGGTTCTTGTTCCCTTTCCCAAATTCTCCATCACTGCCACTGTCGGCCATTCCTAAGGCACTATCTGATCGGCGGTGTTTCTGAAGCTGTGCATTCTCTGATTGGAGCTGGAAATTGTCGTCTTGCAGGTTCTGGGCTACTCGCTGCGCGTCTGCCTTCTCCATCTCGAGCATAGCAACCTTATCTTGGAGGAGCTGCAACGAGATGAAAATAGCCTTTTCCTCATCTGGGACGGGGACAGTGTCCAGCTTCACGTGGCCTGGCCCAGGTGGGGTTCTCTCAGAGGAATATGTGAATCGGGACTGCACCTTGCCGCTGCGTGTAAACACTGGCGTTCCATCCTTAAATGACCCTGAGACAAGCTCAGAAAGGTCGGGCATGTTTGGAAGAAGGAACGATTGGTTTGTCTGGTTGGCAGTGTATGAATTTTGCGTGGCATTGTTCTGAGGCCGAGGAGTTTGTTGGAATTCGTCGCGGTGTCCAGATAGTGCGTCGGCTAAAGCAGTCTTGATTTGTTGTTGAGGAATATTGTGGATGGCAGAAAGAGGTGAGCCCTTTGGCTGGGCTGCGGAGAATCGCGACTGCTTTGGCTGGAATGTGACTGTGGCCGGTCGCTCATCGCTGATGAAAGATCCATCAGAGTCGTCGGCAACTCGGGCGTGGATCTCTGCAAGAGTGCGACGTTGTTCTCCGCTGGAGGATCGCGTCGCTCCAGAAACATAGTTCGGCAACTTTGTCGCTGATGGCGGTGGGATGTTCTCCTTCTGGGGCGTGCCTTTGCTGCTTTGCCTTCCGTTCCCGACACTGCTTCGGAGAGAGTCTTGTCTGTGCTTTGATTGACCCTTCGATGGCGGTGTGCTGAGAATCTTAAAATCCCCGATGCTGACAACTGGAGAGTCGATGTTGTCCGAGTATTCTGTTTGTGGGACCCTGCTTGGAACGCGTTGCCTTGTTTTTGTTCCGCGTCCAACCTCTACATGGAAGCTGCTCTCGTCCGAGCTGCCTCCTTGGGAAAAGTCGGGAAAAGCACGCCCGATCGCCGAGGTGTTGATGATGAAGTCGTTTGTTTGTTGCCTGTTACCGTTCCAGCGGCCATACTTCTTCGCGGTATCGCGTAGCTCTGGGAGCCTCTGGGAAATATTGAGGTCCATTTGACGCGTGGACATTATCGCCTCGTTCTCGGGATCAAAGTCGATTGTGGAGTCGTCGCTCACGGTGCCATGGTGGGAACCGGTCGAGGAAGCACATGAGTGATCGTGTCTGTTGAGATCTCGGGCCATTTCTCGAATCAATCGAGAGCGATGTCTCAAGTCAGCCGAGGCAGCCATTAAAGCGGCTCACTTTGTGCAATGTGGACGTTGGTGGAGGTGCTATCCGGCACTGTTGTTTATGCCGGTTGTGGATGGATGTTTGGGCGGCGTCGCGTCGAGTTCTTGGAGCAGACAGGAAAGCTAAAGAGTACAAAAGAATCTTCTTGGACTACGATATGCGCCGTAAGAATTGAAATGGTTAGGTTTGTTGTCGAATAATTGGCGTATGAGTTATTGTCGTATCGGAAGAAATGATGGGTTATGGGAATGAGGTTGGCAGAGGTTTGTTTACTTTTGGGTGACGCACGGACTCATTGACAATGGCACCCACGCGCCAAGGTTTCTGATCGAGAAGGGAAGGACCGCACCACGGCAGAGGAGGTTAAAAAATGGATTTGACTTCAACATCAGGGCTTGTTTTTAATTGAAGGCTTTTTATATATGGTATTAATGGGTATAGGTCTGCAATCGCCCTTTTACTATGTCAGTGAGGTTTGGCGGGGTTGGTTGGCACATATTATTTATTTGTCGGTTTCGAATTTTAAAACCTCAAATTAATCCGATTATCATTATTTTAGTTTATATGGAGGATACGTATTTGAGTCCGCTGTGCAGTGACAGAGAGCCAAGATAATTTAGAGATAGTATCCGCCGAAGGAAATCATATTACTGCTTCGTCGAATCTTGTGCTTCTAATTATAGCCATTGCGATTTACTTATTTGTTTGCTGTGATAAGCCCGTTCATGGACGTTGTCCACCATGCCAAGAATATCCAACTCGACATCAACGGGGCCTTGAGGGGAATTTAGCTGGACCCCCACAAACATGAAGCTGGAATAAGCTGGGCCACTTGAGTTACTACATATTGGTTCACCAAATCAATAAACTTTTAAGTAAAACGCTTCCATCGTGTCTGCGCTGTTGGTGTTCTCCCTTCTGTCCCAGGCTTGAAAGCGGGATGCGTCAAAAACATGTGACATTAGTGGCGACAACTAATAGGAGAAGGAACGAGAAAACTTCATATTTCTCACTTGGATCCGGATCTGACTGATGAATACCGGCCTGTTAATAATTACTTTTGGACATCTATAGAAAGTTCAACACCTCCAATTATATAGATATTGTGGGCTGTCAACCCGTTGACGTTGAATATCATCCAAATCTGTCTGAACGGCAACCCTACAATTCGAAGCTAGCAAATTTCCACCCCTGGAAAACCGCAAAACCCACCCCGCACAAGGCTACGAGTAGAGGAGTTAGTAGAAGGCTCCGTGACTTGGGAATTACTTCATAGCTCTCATAAGTCAGTATTTCCTCTGCCCCTGAACCAATACGCCATGGACAACCCATGGAGGGACGATGACTTTTCCGCATCATCAGCTTGCGAAGTGGCGCCATATGAAATCCTCGAGCCAGAGGTAGCTACTACCTCTCTTTTCCCAAAGGTTCAATACTCATTGCATCTCCGCGTCAGCGTCTAGCAGCAGAATCATCTGATCTCCAAACTTTCACCCAAAACATTGCGGAACAGCCGTATGACCCAGAGTCCTGGCTGCTCCGCGCGCGCTGCCTCCGGCTTCTGGGATTCCCAGAGCTGGCACTCGGTGATGCGTACAAAGCGCGACTGCTAGTTGAAGCCAGCCAGGAAAAAAGCACTCCACTCGGGAAGAAAGCTTTTCTGGCTTTGTGCGATAAAACCAGGCTCCTGCACGAGACAGACCCGAGATTAGCGGCATGGAAGCACCTCGTTTCAACGACAGCGCTCCTTGAGAAGCGCGTCGTTGCAGAACTGCAAGAGCTCGAGCTCCAGGTTTGGTCAGAGCTCATGGAAGGCTTGATGGCTTCAAATGCGTGTAGTGACTACCTGACCCTCAGCCAAGAAGCGGTGCTTCGATTCCCGCAAGATGCTGTATTTCCATCGGAGGTGCTGAACGCGAAGTCGTGGTTCAAGCAGAGGGATGACATCCTGCGGGAGCAGGTAAACGCCGGCGAGATGAGCGAAGAGAAAATGCAGGCAACTCTTCATAACGGCGGCGTCTACCCTGTGGCTTATCCGTGGATGCGAGAGGATTTTGTGTCGAGAGAGGATTCTTTCCTCGACGGGTGTAAAAAAGAGTTCAGCGTGCGATCTACCAATAGCACTGTTTCTCGCAGTGCTATTAGGGACGTTGACGAAGACGACGACGCCCCAAGCTCAGGAGACGTTCTTGGCGCCTTCGCGACGAAGAGTATCGCTCCAGCAGATACCGTGCTCGTGGACAGCACTGTGGCAGGCGTCACAAGTAGCGCTGAACGCTGCCCGACGTGCTGTGGCCGAATCATGGAAGAGATTCTCAACGATTGCTGCAGCGTCCCGTACTGTAGTACAGACTGCTCCAAGACGGCCCTGGATACCTTCCACGCCTCCGTCTGCGGCAAAGATTTCGGCTTCTTAACATCTGCAGCAGAGTCAGCGCAACTAACAACCGACCTCTCTCTGGACTCAGTACTCCTCCTCCGAGTCCTGGCTCTCTCTATGCAAGAACCGACGCTTCACCCCTTGAAGACATCTCTCCTCAATCGACTGACGCCCACGTATAAAAACGACGAGTTGATAATTTTCAACTTCCCAGACCACATCGTAACACCTATTCGGGTGCTGGGCGAGCTGGGCATTGATGTTTTCGCAAACGCCGCTTATGACACCTGGGTCCTGCATACAATAAGATGTCGGCTGCAGAATAACAAGCACGGGCAGACTCTCGATGGGTTCCCTGGGACGGCCGTGAACCCATTGTACTCAATGTTCAATCATAGCTGTGCACCGAATGTGGACTGGGAGCACGGAGATAGTAATAGCACATTGAGAATGTTTGCTCTACGAGACGTAGAGGAAGGAGAGGAGCTATTTATCTCGTATATAAGGCCGTTGACGATGGACTATGCGGAGAGGCAAGAGAGCCTATTGCCCTGGTTGGGAATGGAGTGCGAATGTGAGCGGTGTAAAGCCGAAAGGCCGCCAACTGAGGCTTGACATATTTGGTGGCATTTGGATATACAGCAGGAGACATGATCGAGGATAAAAGCATATTTAAGTCGATTTAGCCATTGAAGGGATTGAAAACGATTGTTTCCCATAGTTGCCGAAGTGCCAAGTAACAAGCCGAGACTTGATAGCCATAAATTTAGATAATAGCGTCTCGGCCTGTCATCTCCTTATGAGAGGCGGCCAACACCACACCCACCAAAGCTGCGACGTTGATTGACTTACTGTGTGTCACAAATATTGATGGTTGTCTCAATCGCCCGTGAGCATTGAACAGAACGACACATTCTCCCGCGACTCGAGCATCGCAATGCCCCCTCCCTAAAGCCAGATGACACTAAATATGTATATGAAAGTCTAAATTATGCTGTTTGTTAAATGAGGTATCTATATGGGTTACGCACTGTGCAATAAACCGTTCCAAACGCCATGGGGTAATTGACAATTACGACTTATCAACACATTTCTCCTCCAGCCACCTGGCCAGATTCGTGGAGGGCATATCCACAGCCCTCATGAACATGTCGGCGAGCCATAAGCTTAGCGACACGTAGAACACCAGTCCAAATACATATCCAAAATGGTACATCACTCCAGTTTTTCCAAGAAGCGCCCATCCCGCGTTTCTAATTCCCTTCCCAATAAGCATATTAACAAGTTCGTGAACGAGATATAGAGCATAGCTCACGCGACCCAGATAGCGTGCCGCCGGGGCGACTAACGGGCGTTGTAGAATAGGCAGATACAAAATCCCGACAATGATAAGGAAACTGCCAGGCAATGCGATGTAGCGCCACTTCTCCCCATGCCAGGTGAGCTTGCAGAGCGTGGCATAGCCTGGTGTTTCGCAGGTGTGCTCTGTGGGCACGGAGCCCAGGTACATGCCTGCAATGAAGCAAGCCCAGAGGCCCAACTTTTTGAGGATGCGGCGGCGGCGTTGATTGGTAGCGTTTCCATTTCTACCGTCGTCGTATTGAAAAGAGGAGTCGGTAGCGTCCGCATTATGCAGGAGACCCTCCTCTTTGCTGCGTTGCGATGCGGCTTCTTGCGTGCCGACGTGGATCTCAGCAGCGAGGAGGCCGAGAACGAAACAGCCCAGGTCCCAGCGGTCATGTAGCATCGTGTCAACGAAGACAAGCGCCTCAATGAGCAGCCGCGGGCCTGTCCGGCAACGCGCAATTCCCAAGAGAAGGAGGAAAAGGATCATCGAGCAGCGGAACTCGACGGCAATTGTCCACAGCGGCGGCAGGTAGTAGATATGGAACTGGTTCCAGTTGTAGAACGTGAAGAGGTCGCGGAGATTCTCAAAATAGAACCTGATATCACCCCACAGTCCTGGAACATAGTGTGGCCACGGTTTATCGAGTAACTGGGCGCGCTGGCACAGAAAGCTGATGAAGGACATGACGAGACTCGGCAGGCCGAGACGCACAACTCGGCGAAAGGTCATGCTGGATAGGACTGGAAGGATCCGATCACGGTCTCGTCGAAGCATAAGCCGAACGGCTCGGGCTGAGAGCACATATCCGGAGATGACGAAGAAGAGAAAGACCATGAAGCCACCGCTGTACCATATCTTCACAAACGGCAGCTTCAAGAGGTTTGTGTTGCCGTTGTAGCCATACGCGGTTCGGATATTGGGATAGGCGAATGAACTGTAGTGAAAGATCATGACAGCAAAGGCTGCCACCCCTCGAAGGCCATCGAGGCAGTCGGTGCTTGCGCGCTGGGCGGCTATTTGTGGGTCTATAGGGCGCAACGAGACGGGTTTGGCGGGACTGGGAGAGAGGACGCTGGGGACGGCGAAGGAGAGGAGGCCACGGGCGGCCGAGGGGAAGGAAAATTTGGAGGCGGCATGGACGAGGACCAGAGGTAAAGTCCAAAGTAGAGCTGTTGGCGTGGTGGCGGGCGACATATCGTCCCTCGTTCGTGGCTTGACTGTTCGCTCCAAAACAGGTGCGATCAGTAGGACAAGGGAAGAAAGAAGAGAGAGAAAGGAGAGGAATGGAAAGTAGGTAGGGGAGATTCCACATCCACCAGGAGCCGCCTCCAGGAGCCAGCCTGGTGAGGGAGGGTGCATCGGTAACCCTCCTACCTAACGCCGCTGTTCCCAGGCAGCCCCCACATCGATGATCCCCCCATTCCACCTGGGGTACTCCAGCGGGTAGATTATCTAGGGGTCCAACGCCAGTGCGAAGAAGGTGCTGTCAGCTTCGGAGCCAGCATAGTTCATTGGCGCCAACACCGTCTTGGAGTGGACCGGGTGTGCTATAGCCACTGCTCGTATGCCTCATACGGGCCTCTTGCTGGTTTTCTTTCGTTGACTCCATGGACCTCAATTCGCCGAGTCAGCCGGGGATAGAGAGAAACTTACCTGGCAAAAAAGAACATCTCTGACATGTGTCCGCACCAACCGATATTGTTTTGGCGCTCCTTCATCCCCATAAATTGGTGTTGGGTCTGTGGACACCACACCACTCGATGGCGGAGTACTTTCGATAATTTCATGGCGGAGGTCTTGGCGGTGCTGCATTGGCGATGGATAATCCCCTTATACGTGCTGCAATCAGCCAGAAGGATCAGAATAGCGTTTCATTTGCTCCGGCCGTCTTGGCACGGCCGGTTTAGGCAGTTTTGAACGCCTCCAACGATAAGTGGGTTGGGTTATTGATCCATTTTTTCCAAGCCTGAAAAGAGCATAAGTATATCATGGAATTGTGTGATCATCAAGGGGTAGCTAAATGCAATATATAGACGCGACAGTTTCGCCTCTGAATCTATGTGGTTGAGTGGAGATGGAAGAAGATCGAGATACTACGTAGTGGATGATGTTCACAGTCGTCGGTCTTGGCGGCTAATCTGTTCCTCGTTTAGCCTTGACCGGTATATCACGTGATATATTTCACAACAGAATGATACGATGGAAGGGCGATCCATGTGGGCCTAAGAAATGATGATCACGAAACACGACAAGACGAGCAGTGATTAACACCATGATCAGAGTGTACAGTTTCATTTTCTTCTGTCTCCCAGCCGCGAGTAGACGAGGCGAGACACTACACTACATAAAGAGATGGAGCCGAGCCCTCAGACAACCGCGTTCTGGTCGTAATACAAATCACAATGATGCGGGTGCTGCAGGCAGTATTTTGGAACGAGCGGCGTGGCCTGTACTCCCGACGCGACGAGATACTCCCTAAAGTTCAGGATGCGCTGCGTCATGGTCGTCGTGCGCTTCTTGCCCGCGGCGTCCCTGTTTCCGGACCAGGATAGCTCGGCGAGCGCAGCAGCACGCGGCCATAGCTTCGACGAGAGGCAAGTGTCGTCGACTTGCTCGGACCACAAGGGGGCGGTGACTCCAATGACCTTCTTGGCCTCGGCGGCGGTCAGGTTGGTGGTGAAGTCGTAGTCGTAGATGCGTTGCCAGGTCTTGTAAGGGGCGCACCAAGATCCTCCGGTGCCTCCGAAGTTGAAGTTGGCGGTATCCGGGTCGGGGTTGACGTTCTCGTTGTAACGGGGGTCGTTGGTCACGTAGCCGCCGACGCCACAGTCAAGGTAAAACCAGTCGGACGAGGAGACGACGACATCAAAACCGCTCGACGTGAGCTTCTTGATATTGGCGAGGCCGCCGTTCCAAGTCTGCATGATGATGTCCTTGGGCATGTCATGTGCGTGCGGGTCGTTGATGGCAACATCCTCCCACATGACAAGACGCCTGTTCTTTGGCTTCTTGAAAATCGGGACAGCTTTATCAACCCAGTACTGGACAAGGTCGTCGTACGTCAGCGATTTGTTCGCCGCAAACCATTCCTGTGTGATAGTGCTGAGGTTGTAGCAGCCAACCTGAAGCTCGTCGCCGCCAACATGGAACAGGTTGTCGGTAAAGAGGCTAGACAGCTCGTTATACACCTTTGCGACAACCTCGTACGTCTTATCATTGAGAATCTCCAGCTGGCCCGGGTTGGGTTGCACAGCAGTGTGGAGCGGCCAGTTATCGTTGGACCACCAGGAGTTTGTGCAGGCAACAATGGCAGGGTCGATTTGCTTCCACCCCGCGGAGGAATGGCCGGGCATATCGATCTCGGGGATGATGCGAACAGCGCGGGCGCGGGCATACGCAATGATGGTGCGGACGTCGTTATGCGAGTACGTCTCGCGCGTAGAGTATGCGTCCTTGGTCATTTCTGGATATGCGTTCATAGTCAAGGGCCAGGACTGGTCATCGTCGATGTGCCAGTGGAGCACGTTGAGCTTCGACAAGGCCATTCCGTCGATGGTCTCAAAGATTTTTTTGACGCTGATAAAGTTGCGCCCGGTGTCGACCATGATCCCGCGGTATGGATAGATCGGGCCATCCTTGATGGACACTGGTTGCTCAATCTGGAGGCCGCCGTGGCCATCAGAGATGACAATTTGTTGAAGAGTTGTAAAGGCATGGAGAGCGCCCCAGATGGTCTTGGCTGTGATATCGATAGAAGGTGAGTTGGACTTGACATCAAGCGTGTATGACTCGTCGACGCCGTGTTGTAAATCCGCCTTGTAGTCCGAGATCTTGACGTTCACTTCGTAGATCAAAGTTGACCAGCGCTTGGTATGTTCTGATTCCGATTCGGCGAATACAGGGGCAGCAGCCCTTTTAGCCGCGGCTGGGGTGGTGGGAAAGGGGTCGAAGACAGGAATTGGCTCCTCCACAGCCTGGGGAACCCATTTTAAGGTCGTGATCGAGTTGAACGCGCGATTCCACGCGTCTTGAACCACCTGGTTGTAGGGGCTCTTGAGGACGAGGTATCCAGCCACCTGCTTGGGCCCTGAGGTTCCCCAGGTTATGGAGACGGGGGCGGGTAGCGGATTGACTTTGACAGCTTCGGCAGCCCCAGCGAACGCGCATGAGGTGGCCGCAATGGCCTGGACGACCTGATTGAAGCGCATTTTCAGAGATGGTTGTTCTGGCTCAAGTGGCGCGAGGTCGAGATCTCTGAAGCTGTGTACCTGGGAGGATCGCAGCTTATATTAGTACTGTGGAGTGGAAGTCACACCGGAATGTCTTATCTGGGAAATGATAACCCCGGACGCGAATGACCTCAATGTGCAGAGTAACCAGTAGCAACACCATGTCTTGGAAAGTAAGTTCCCCGCACCTTGCTAGTAGTGGTGACCAGCAGGCCACATCTTGGACGTGCAACCTTGGAAGGCTAAGATGATGGTTATAGTAGCATTTTGATGGTCCGTGGAGGAGCCGAAGCAGTCACAATGTTTACATGGAGAGTGGAGAGTGGAGAGCGGAGAGCGGGCAGAGGAGAGCAAATGAAGTATACTGCTCCGTACGTTCTTGTCCAACTTGTGCGACAGCTTGTATGGCAAACAAAGCTCTGTATTTGCCGTGAAGGACCCCTACTCCTGTACCGAGTAGGGCTATGAACGGCGTAGGGGAGCTGCTGTGTGCGGTCGTCGGTGTTGTTACATCGGAGAAGGTCCCCCTGGCTAAAGCCAACGGAACGTTACGCTCTCGGCGTTGGCGTTGAAGAAAGCTCGATAAGGTCGCTCGCACGGACCTTTATGTGGCGCGTCGTCGCGCTCTTTCTGTCCTTCGCCGGAGCTATCCTCGTGATTTCCCCGAGTCGCCGCTGTCCTTGTGTTGTGCAAAGCAGATCTTCTCGCCGAGCTGTCACTGTAGACGTCGATCCTCGCGTCGGGCCATTAGCCGCCGTAATACGATAGGTAGGCTGCTTGACGCCGGACCTGGACTCCTGTCAGATCGTATAGGGACAAGTGCCGTCCTGTACGATATACGATACGAAGGACAAACCTCGGTCTGTGCACTCTGCCAAGCTAGTGGCAGATGCCACAGCGGGAAGATGTGGGGAACAACCTTGTACTGTCACCTTGACTTGACGCCGCTGGTGCGGACTCGCGGAGGTTCGGATGAGGGCATCGCGTGAGGGGGTAGGAAAGATAGATTACACGCACTATCTGGTGAAGAATTTCAAGAACGGTGAGAGGGCACGACATGACAGGATGGTACGTGCGATCCAAGCCACTGTCACGTACCATGCCCAAAGGTAACATCGGACAAGCCTCACTGATGTCGAGTTCCCGTGGGCGCCAGGGAAGCTGTCATCCCAGGGACTTCAATTTCAGACGGAATCCAAAGCTTCTAGATTACAACCCCTCTCGCAAGTCACACCTTTCGAGGATCCGGGCGCTTGTGGTCGGGTCAAAGACGTACCGCATTGATGTGGTCTTACTTTAGACGCACTCAAGGGAGCAGCGGTGGGGCTGAGGAATACTTAATTTGTGATGCATCGTATCATATGTAACAAGCAGGGAGACCTTAGACGTATTTCAATGTTTATAGTGCACGTGGAGGTCTCAGTCAAGTTCAACGTGCCGTGGTTCAATCATAAGCTACAAGCGCGCTCACTTGACGTTGAAAGTCCCTGACCGTCACCCATAAGCAGAGTCATGAACTCATCAATATTCACTCCATCTGCCAAAGCCCACATGCAGATATTTTCCCTGAAACCACCACCCCGTCCGCCCTTCAAACTGCTCCCAATAACAAACTCACGCCGAATAGACACGCCAAAGACGCCGCTTGCTTTTGAAAATCACACCTATCCCCCTCTCAAAGATCTCGCCTATTCACAGCCGCTTCCCACTCCCACATATCCCTGCCTGACGCGCACAAGCTCCCATATCGGCTAGCTACCAATAATGCTACTACGTGGGCTAGTAGTAGCAGGGTCGTCATACGTCTCTCCATCCTGCCTACAAGGACCAGGTCCATAGCAGCGAGTATGAGCAGGGGTGCTGAGACGAGCGGATTGGTTGCCCATGGCAGGCATGGTTTCGTGAGGGTGTATGCTTTGAAGAGGAAGATGATGAACTTGGCCACATATGTCAACAGACGCCCGTTAGACTGCATCCAGGATCGTGCACTGTGCGAAGCCAGTGCAAGATGTTGGTTGAATCTGCCAATGCGACCAGATGGTGGGGGCATCAGTAGTGGCGTCGTCACCTCGGGCTGTGAATCAAGGTGATTCGACAATGTTTTCCGCAGTGCATGAACCCTCTCGCCATCTTCATCTTCAATATACGCGGCCGAGACCGACCGGGTGCCGCCAATGGGCTTCGCTCCTGGGGCGGGAGAATCAACCGGTTGTATCCTCTTGCCGACATTCAGGTTATTTTTCGATCTGGACAAGCTCGATACCCCCTCCAAACCTGAACCGGAGCTGATGGCCTGTAATATATCGGTTGCGCCCGGCCTGTCGGCAGGGTTGAGGCTGAGAAGTCGCTTCAAGAAGGTATATAGCTGGTCTGGGAGATCCGGTCGCTCCTGCCTCTCATCCCGGAAACCCTGCCACGAGCTGATTTCCGCGCGAAGCTGGTCTAGGTCCTCAAACTCCTCCTGGATGTTCTCGGCGCTGAGATATGGCAATCGCCCAAAGCACATGAAATAGAGGATCATGCCGAGGGAGAAGATGTCACTCTTCGCCGTGAAGTTCCCATATCGACCCGACGCATCTTGTCGTAGAACTTCAGGCGCACAGTAAGATATCGTTCCAGTAGCTCCCGTTGACTTCCTATATACGTTATCGGCTTGCACTTCGCCAAAATCGCTGATGAGGCACCGAAGATCCTTTTCGCCACGATGTAACAAGCAGTTACTGGGCTTCAGATCCCGGTGGATGTAGTTCGAAGCATGCAGGTGCGCGAGTCCAGATGTGATGTCTTTGAAAAAGGAATAGATCTCGTCAAACGCCAGCTTCTTCTGAGGCGATTTGAGTCCTTGCGGCCGATCCAACTGCCCCTTCGATCTCCTTCTCATCTGTGCCTTGAGTTCTTCGTTGGTGCTTGTCGCAGACGCACCTTTACCAATCACGTAATGGAGTAGATCACCCGAATTGCAGTATTGCTGCAGAATAAATGCGCATGGTACCGATGGCCCGAAGCGATTCAGCTTGTAATCTTCCAGCCAGACGTGACGATAAGAGACGAGGTTGGGATGCGACAGCTGCTGCAACAGCTGGACCTCAATAAGCACCTTTTCCAACCACTCGTGATCGTCCCCAACGGGAACCCTTTTGCAAGCAAAGTGGCCCAGGAACACACCATCAAGCTCGTGCCTGACCAGCAAGACTACTCCCTTGCCACCCCTTCCCAACTCACTCTCCACAGTAAAGAACTTCTGAAAGTAATTGGGGCTGAAGGCGTCCTTCTTTATGCCTAGCGCTTCTCGTCCGCTCTGGCCTCCCGGAGCACTAGTCACAAACTCTGCGTCGTCGGATTCTTCAAGCCCCTCGGTATCAGCCCTATGCCCACCAGCACTCGGAGCTCGATAAGGCTCGCTCCTGGGGACCGGTTGTGTAAGCCGTCGTATCGGGCTGCTCGGTGGTTCTCTCTCATCTTCGCTTCCTGGCTCAGAGGCAAGGCGCAGCATGCGAAAGTATTCAGGGTTGACGAAGCTCTGTCCGTGGATCGGGCCGCTCGAGAGCGGGTGGCTCTCGTCGGTAGAGGCGCTGCGGATGGATTGATGGCAGTAGGGACATTCTGTCAGCTTTTGGGCGGCAGAGGCACCGCGGAGTATCAACTGGCGTGTCTGGGGGTCGCGCACAACAATGGCGTCGTCATGTTGACTGTAAAGTCAGTCATCGGCGGACAGTGAAATGAAGGTGGGGTAGGAGAGGCGTACAGAACAATCTCACGGCTATCGCGAGAGGAATATGGAACGAGGGACATTGAGACTCAGAGATGCCGCATTTGTATGACTGTTGAAGTGATGAATGCTAGAAGCAAACACTTTTATCTTCACGTTACTTCAGTGTACATTGCTATTCCACAATCGAGGTTTGTTTATGGAAGCTGGACTCAATAGTTGGCTTGTGCTCAGCACTGTAACACAGTGTGACGTAAGGTCATGTGACGCCAAAATATGTCCGAGAAATCTCTCTTATTTTGCTGTTATGAAAATAGCTAAATTCCCATTGGAAATATGCCTTATCTAGGACTGTTGACCTGCAGTTTATACCCCCTTTCTATCGTTCACAGCTTGTGTGGTACCGCCAAATTCGAATTCCAAATTTCGGTAAGGATCGTTTAGTTTCCGCCCCCCGCAAATCCCGTTGTCCCCCCATTCCCTACCCCGTACCCTGTGTCACGCCATGTTCAACCTTTGAACCCTTAATTAATAAGCTTAATTATATAATACAAGCAGCTGGTGTGTTATCCCAAACTCCACGGGACAGCAGAAATGCTTCCTGCGCAATGCTTTTAGTTCAACGGGAGACTAAGCTCTTTCGTCAACACGTGTATGTTGTTAATAAGCCCTTCCACAAGCGCGTCGTATCTATGCGGCTGCGAAGATTGGAGTCGCTGTCCTTGCTCAACAAGAGTTTTCGTGTCTATCTCAATCTCGAGCTCATGCTCCTTATCGCCCTGGACAACATGTTAGCTAGGTTCTGCAATGAAAGTAATAACAACACTCACTGAAGCTGAGGTAACCTGCGTGAGATCGATCTGATAGTGTGATTGAGTGTAGCTCAAGCGGTCCTTGTTCCGGTCTGGCTGATTCTTCTTGTCAGAGCCGCGGGCCAGAGCCTCACTGTCACCGTCATATCTCATTTCGAGGTTGACGCTTATACGACAATCCAGAGGAGAGTTCGGTATGTAGATATCCAAATCTTTAACACGAGTCTTTATAATCTGTGCAAGTGGAGCACCTGTCTTTTGGTCATGAGTAATCCGGACCTTCGGGGCGTGGTGACTGCTCTGCTTCAAGAAGTGCTGGATACTGGGCGGTAGTGTCTGCACTATTGCTTTGGGCAATTCGAAGAAGCTATCCCGCTCCCGCCTGTGCGCATATCGAATTGGTACCCGCGGCTTGGGCCTATTCACGTTGCTCGGATGGGTCTGTGTCACAAGACCATTCAAAAACTCGTTCATTCTCTTGTGTTGTTCCTAGAGTTGTTAGTTTAACTTCGGGGACAGTGGATTAAGGGGACATACCTCTGTCATGGAGCTTCTGAACGAAATACGGTTGCTCGGAGCTAGGACACACTCTGAAAGGACAGGCAGATAGTACCTTTGGTTTGTCTCTTTGTCAATGAGCTGTCCCAGTTTCGCTTCGATTTCCACCGCTACTCCTCGGCTCTCTAGCTCGCCCCAGTCGTTCCTGTTGACAACTTCGAGATATAAGAAGTCGGCAATGGCTTTGGTAAGGTCGTTAACTGGCGTAGTATCCGAAATGCTTGGCTCCCAGGGCCCAAGAATATCGTCATACTTGGTGGCAGTAGGAGTAACGCCAGCTTCTTGTTTGGGGGTTTGCGGCAGGGAAATCTCGGGTGACGTATGGGCGGCAGGCTTTCCATTCGCCTGGCCAGAAGGTGCTGGAAACTGCTTGTTCTTCTTGTAGAGCATCCAGCTTTGAGCCCAGATCGGTGGTTCATTATATCGTCTGCGCTTCCTTGGCTCTTGCGGGGATTGACTCTTACTACTCATCGGTTGATCGCCGTTTGGAGCGCTCGAGGGAGCCCTTGCATCCGAACTGCGTCTATCGTCAATTTTCCTCTTGGCAGGTGTTGGCGCAGGATCTGGTGCAGGTGTACGTTGTCGGGCCTGGTTGGCCGCTTCGCTCTTGGGTTGTCCAAACACCGTTGTCTTTGGGCTCACGCTCATACTGTTCTCTCTTTCGCTTTGGGAGTTCCTCTTTGACGCTGGCGCAGAGGCTGGGTTGTGATTATAGGGAGCCGGCGTCGTGGGAGCTGCTGACACTGATGGCGATGGAGATATGCGTTCGACTTTTGTGTTATCTTGCTGAACTCCTAACGATGGAGCGCGTTGTTGATATGGGCTCGTTGGGAAGGGATAGCTTCCAGTTGATTGGCGCTGTACAGTCGCGGGTTGGCGAAATGGGGTGCCTGGCTGTGATCGCTGCGCCTGGTCTTGTGGAAAGGGCGTTGGCGGGAACGCGGTATTGGCAACTGGGCTTTCTTGAAGCTGTTGCGTATATAAGTTTTGCTGACTTTGAGCTGAGGTAGGTGTGGGACTCGAGTGAGATGACTGTGGCCGCTGATGTGGCGGGAAAGGGTAGGACGTGTTCGAACTTCCAATTGGAGGTGTGAGCGGAACAGGAGACGCTTGTGGGTAGTTCATATGCTGAGATTGAGGTTGAGCCTCGTTTTGTGAGTAGCTTTCGCGATGGCGGAGTGCTGGTGGGTATTGTTGAGGTTGACCAGGACTTTGAGGTGCTGCGTTTTGTGGGAAGGGGAAAGCTCCTCCGCTTGTCGATGAAGAGGGAGTATGGCGAAATGGAGATTGGCCGGAATAATGCGACGAAGTAGCTGGGGATCGGAGGTCGTTACTCGGGGGCTGAAGGGGAGGAGGCGGAGGTGGTCGTCCTTGAAAGGACCCTTGGTATGCTGTTGGAGAGGTGAATCGTTGAGCTTGCGCGCCATAATCTTGCGACGCTTGTCTACTCGGCGGCGCGGGCTGGCTGTGCTGGCTATATTCTCGGTACAAACCTGGCGATGGTCCAGTTTGCGCGGGAGTCGCAGGTTGTGCTTTGTCCTGCCTCGAGGTGTCTCCCCCTTCGTTGTTAATGATCGATCTCAGATCCATTGTTCCGACAAGTCCGTAGTCCCGTTCACTCAGCGGCCACGGCCTCCCAGTATGTCCGTCAACAGTTTGGTATACAATATGCCTTCATTGAAGTTCAGCCACAATTGCCGTTCCAGCTGAAGTCTATCGGATTCAGGATAGGCCGGTGGTTCATGAGTCTGCCCAAAGTCGGATCGGTTGGAGTTGCGCCAACGCCGTCAGCACAGAACTGGCACTATCGAGGTTGTCGATTTTATCAGCGTCGCACTACGAACAGTCGCGCGAAGCTATGCGCAACGTTTTCGCTGCAGCTTGACGCTCGGTTGCTGGTGATTTGAGATGTTGTAAAATAATTACACAGTTCGTCCCCCCTGTGGTCAACGACGATCTGCCTCCGTTTGCTAAACGAAACAAATGTCGCGACCTGTCTACAAGACACGCAAGCGTCATCACACATAACTATATGATTTTTTACTCATCACTGGGATCTCTATGAGGCTTCAAATAATATATAGCTATGTAGTGTCATTTGTAAGAAAAATGCTACATTTATTTGCGATTTTCTCTACTTAATTAATTTATTTTTCGATGGCGGCGACAGAAGAGACGCGTGCCATTGTGCTGCCTCAGGCATGACTGCTTTGCATTTCACTATCCGGTTTTGGTTAAGCGTCAATAGCTGCGTAGCTCCAGGCTGTCGCGCTTAGGTGTTGCTGAAGTTGAGGCTCAGGCATCATCGTGTGTGTGTAATCAACAAACCAATTCCATCGCCATCAACCACTTTCGCCCATCAACATCTCAATATACCCATTTACAATTGTGCGCATCTAAGACCTCACCCGCTCCTATCAACAACACACATAAATCGACGATATGCCCGGGCTCGTGTCCGCCACAGGCGTCCTCGGGTTCCTTTCCGACGAGGAACCCGAGCTCAAGATCTTCGCCCTACAGACCTTGAACGATGATATCGATACTCTCTGGACGGAGGTAGCGGGATCTGTTGGGCAGATGTGAGTTACAACTGCAGTTTGAGATCCCATCAGTGGCTCAACCCCCCCGTGCGTAGGAATTGGTTTACTGACAGCTGGCGTTCACAGCGAGGCTCTCTATGAAGACGACACATTCCCGGAGCGCCGACTTGCGGCACTTGTGCTGGCAAAGGTGTACTACCATTTACAAGAATACAACGAGAGCATGGCGTTTGCTCTAGGCGCTGGGGACCTCTTCAAGCTCGACAACGGGGGGGAATTCGAAGAGACCATCATCTCGAAGTGCGTGGATCAGTACATTGCCCTCTCGGCATCACATCGTCCACGTGCATCGGATGCTGGCACCGGCGCTATTCCTACTCTCGCAACATCATTTGCGAATACTGCTGGCGACAGCAACGTGTCGGGAGCCCTATCTTCCCCAACGACTCCATTCTCTCAGTCGACTCTGCCATCCAAGTCGCTGTTATCTCGCCAATCCACCGATATCTCCGCCGATTATCCAACCATCAGCACAGGAGCACTGTCATTATCTGTTGCGGACCGCAAGACTCAGGTAGCACTTGAGAACGTCATCGAGAGGTTGTTCGAGAGCTGCCTGCGCGAGGGGAGATACAGGCAAGTGGTTGGGATAGCAATTGAAGCTCGCAACTTGGAAGTCCTGCGAAGGGTAATCAAGCGTGCAAGCGACGATGAAAAGAAGGCCGGAAAGCCAACAGACAATGGTTCCGGCCCCACCGAGGAGCTGATGGAGTACGTTCTGAACATCTGTATGGATGTTGTCCAGGAGCGTGCCTTGCGAACAGAGATCTTGAAGATGATCCTCGACTTACTAAACGACATACCAACGCCCGACTTTTTCGCAATCGCAAAGTGCGTCGTCTACCTAAACCTGGACGGAGAAGCCTCTGCGATGCTCCGGAAGCTGGTGGAGAAGGGAGACGACTCTTCTCGGGCAGTGGCATACCAAATCGCCTTCGATCTGTACGATAACGGCACACAAGAGTTCTTGGGAAATGTACAAAAAGCTCTGCCGACTGAGAAGAAGGCCGAGGAGCCTGTTGCGGAAGGAGAAAGCGAGCCACTCTTGGGAGAGAACAAGGACCAATCCGGCGACTCCTCCAACGCCGATAACTTCTCCGCCGAGCAGATCCAGATCTTCACCAACATCAGATCCATTCTCGATGGCTCCAAGAGCATCAAGCTGAACTTGGAGTTCCTCTACCGAAACAACCACACCGACATCAGCATTCTCAACAAGGTACGGGACAGCCTTGAGGGAAGGAACTCGATATTCCACACCGCAGTGACCTTTTGCAATGCCTTCATGAACCAGGGTACTACCAACGACCAGTTCTTCAGGGACAACTTGGAGTGGCTCGGCAAGGCGGTCAACTGGTCGAAGTTCTCCGCCACTGCTGCGCTGGGAGTCATCCACAAGGGTAACCTGAGCCAGTGCCGGAAGCTCCTCGAGCCATATCTTCCCCGACCATCTTCCGTTGGAGGATCCATCTTCAGCCAAGGTGGTGCCCTTTACGCGTATGGTTTGATATATGCAAACCACGGAGCGGAGGCGCTCGACTACCTCCGCCAATCATTCAACGACACCCAGGAGGAGGTCGTGCAGCACGGTGGTGCCCTGGGTCTTGGTCTTGCTGGCATGGCTACGGGATCGGAGGAGATTTACGAGAACCTTAGAGCCATCCTCTATACCGACTCTGCGCTCAACGGAGAGGCTGTCGGTCTCGCAATGGGACTGATTATGCTCGGCACTGGAAATATCAAAGCGCTCGAGGATATGATCCAGTACGCACACGACACCCAGCACGAGAAGATTGTTCGCGGAGTGGCCATGGGCATGGCTCTTATCATGTTCGGACGCCAAGAGGGTGCGGACGAGCTGATTGAAGGCCTTCTCAACGAAGCAGACCCAACTCTTCGTTATGGTGGAATTATGACCGTTGCCATGGCGTACTGTGGTACTGGAAGCAACAAGGCTGTTCGCAAGCTACTCCATGTCGCCGTCAGCGACGTGAACGACGATGTCAGGCGTATTGCCGTCATGAGCTTGGGATTCATCCTTTTCCGTAAGCCAAGCAGCGTCCCCCGCATGGTCGAGCTTCTGTCGGAATCCTACAACCCCCACGTTCGCTACGGTGCTGCAATGGCTCTCGGTATCTCATGCGCAGGCACTGGCCTGGATGAGGCAGTCGACCTGCTGGAGCCTATGATGAAGGATCCGACCGACTTTGTCAGGCAAGGTGCCCTTATTGCGTTGGCTATGATTATGGTCCAGCAAAATGAGGCCATGAACCCCAAGGTTGCCGCTATCCGCAAGACCTTGAAGAAGATTGTTGGCGACAGACACGAGGATGCGATGACCAAGTTCGGATGCTCTCTCGCGTTGGGCATCATCGACGCGGGTGGCAGAAACTGCACCATCGGTCTCCAAACACAGAGTGGCAACCTCAACATGCCAGGTATCGTCGGTATGGCGGTATTCACGCAGTACTGGTACTGGTTCCCATTCACCCATTTCCTCTCGCTCAGCTTTACGCCAACCTCCATGATCGGACTCGACCACGACCTGGAGATCCCCAACTTCAAGTTCCACAGCGCCACTCGCCCAAGTCTATTCGACTACCCTCCTGAGCAGGAGGTCAAGACTGATGAGGCGCCCACTCTTATCGCCACCGCAGTCCTATCGACCACTGCCCAGGCTAGACGCCGTGCTCAGAAGAAGGAGCGTGCTCAACGCCACGAGAGCATGGATATCGACCAGACACCCACCACACCCAAGGTTTCTGCACCAGACGCCGAGAAGATGGATGTCGATGAGGAGGCTAAGGAAGGCGGAAAGAAGGAAGGAGAGGAGGATAAGGAGGCCGGTGCTCAAGGCACACCCAAGAAGAAGCTCGAGAAGGAGAAGGTCGGATACGAAATCGAGAACATGTCACGTGTTCTTCCTGCCCAGTTGAAGTTTATTAGCTTCCCAGCTGGGCGATACGAGCCAGTCAAGAAGGTAAGCCGATTCCCCTCTGTTTTTGGGAGATATATATTAACGAAAATACAGCCAACTGGAGGTGTGATCATGCTCTTGGACAGCCAGCCTGACGAGCCCAAGTCTCTGATTGAGGAGAAGATGAAGAAGGCCTCGGTCGAGCGCGCCGCCGCACTCCCAACACTCGAGGACCTCAGACAGGAGTCGTTCAGTCTGCGCCGCTTGGCCGATGCACAAGGCGAAGCTGCGGGTGCATTGTCCGGGGCAGGTGCTGCAGCCGGGGCAGGTGTATTAACAGCCGTGGACGAAGATGGGGAAGGTGGGGAGGAAGCTGCCGTGCCCAACGAGTTCGAATACTTCTCTGATGATGAGGAGGAGGAGGAGGATAATTAGACGCATGGGAAGTAATTGGGGCGTCTGTATTACTATTTCTTTGAGTTTTTTTTGCACTGGAGCATAGATGGCGGTGGTGGTACGATAGTGAGAGCATAATGCAGAATATTACTTGAGCTTTATTATTTATCGGGGTTTGTGAAGGTTATGTTTGCTTGTAATAGAGGGATGCGGGAGAGATGTTTATAGCTGGACGGCGAAAAACGAGGCATTCTCATATCAGTACTCGCGAGGAGCAGCCATCAAACCCGCCTGGGTAGCTCAATCGGTAGAGCGTGTGACTCTTACTTCCTATCTTAGGATACGAGATCATCTCAAGGTCGCGGGTTCGAGCCCCGCCTCGGGCTCAAATCCCGAGTGCTCTCTTGAGGAGTCCTCAACTTTTTTGCTGTTTGCTGTTTGCAGTTTGTGGTGGTGGTAGTGGGGCGTGGAGGAGATTTTTTTTAGGTGGGGGTTGACATACGCTTGGCGGCTTGTTTAATCGAATCTTTAATATTCATTTTTTGATGTTTCTATTTACCCTGGGTTATGAGAGCAAATATAGCTTTTCAATGTATAAAATCGTCTATTATTGTTGTCGTTTTGCTCTTGTTAGACGGTGATATTCCCATGATGCGGCGGCGGGCTAAAAATAAGTTTTCTGATGTCGAGTTTTCCAACGTCGGCGATAGTCAAAAAATCTCCCCAAAAGCTTCCAAATCCTAAATATTAACGGAACGCCTCGTAATTTTCGGAGTCACTCTACAGGACCGTGAAGGCATTCTACAGGTCGAGTCTACGTAAATCCACCTCTCCAACAGGCCAGCCAGCGACTTTCGCGCCGAAGCTCTTTTCCCAAATCGACCAAAATTATAAAACAGCATTCTGCTAACAAGCCAGGCCGATTGATCTTTATTTCGGTATATGAGGAGATAAACCATTGGGCTTTTTTCAGGTCGATTTCTCCAATCGAGACCTGCAGCCTAGCCTGCATCTATATAAAATGCAAGTCCAAGCACTGCAAAAGACGGGTAAGAGATGCCTGAGTACCCATTTCCAACCCACAAAGCCTAGCACAAACAAAATATACAGCGAGAGAAGCCCAAGCTCCCATTTTAAGCTCTTCAAACTCACCATAGTCGCAAATCAACTCGTGTTTATCGCCGTGCGCATACGTGGGAGTGGGACGGCGGATATCATTGCTCATGCACCCCCTTCTCCCCCCCTGACATTTAGAACAACGTTAACCTAGAGCATATCGCAATAGACGAGGTTGGACGTTTCAACCGTGCTGAGTACCTGATGGCAATGACTCAAGGTTGGAGGCCGCACCATCCCAGCCGGGACCAGCTCTGCCGAGATGCGTGCTCTTGCCACTCGTAGGCCACGCTGCAGCGTAGCTGAGGTGATAGATGGATTCCGGGCCATTTTAATACAGAGCAGTACATGTTACTCGTCGATCTGTGGGAAGAGAGCGGCTGTCGTGGGGTGTCGCTGGCGACAGCGACAGCGCTCATCGACAGTAACAGCACCAGGGCAACGAGAATAACCACAGCAACAGGATAGCAACGACGGCAAGAAGGAGCTGCCAAATTTCTCCGAACACGATGAACGTACGCCGAATAGAGGAGAGAAACTACTGGAAGCTTTATGCGACTTCTCACGTATGGCAGCTCTCATCTTTCAGCGGCAAATTAAAAATTTCACCAATTCGCGAGTCCCAAGGGCTTTTTGACGGTTTCTCCTCTTGCGTCTCTTCGATGCCTCTATGGTGGGTTCCTTTACCTCTTCTGCGCTGTCGGCTTCTCCTCCCCTCCTGCGCCTTTTTGCTGGATTATCTGCTGCTGGTGTTTTCTTTTCTCACTTCTACAGCTCCAGCTTTCTTTTGTGCGGTAGCTGATGCTTCTTTTGCATTCTGCAGGTGGGAGGGGTAATGAGTGAGCTGTTTTGTTTGCTGCGGTCTCGGTCATGTCGGTATGGGACGGGGGACTGAGTTGATCTGGGAGATGCGCGGGTTGGCGTCTCCAGGAGCACATATAACAGATTGGTGAATGGGATTGGAAAGCAATGGGGTTAAATGACAAGTTTTAAAGTAAGCCCAGCAGCAGGGCAAGTTCAAGAATAAAGATTTGGAGCAAGTTCTTCAAGAGTAAGCTAAACAGAAAGTCCAAGAGCAAGTTCTTCATACGTTCAAATAGAAGCAAGCCTCAGAAGTAAGTTCTTCATAAAGATCAGCTGTGAGTTCAGCTGCGAATTCAACAGCATGTTATTTCAAGGCGTGAATAGAATGTACACCAAGACCTCACTCTCTATCATCTCATCTCATTTAAAATCCCACATCCCACATCTCATATCCATAATCCATATCCCTCTCACCCACAACTCGCTGCAGAGGATACAAGCACCTCCCCCCTTCTCAATCCCACCTGCCGCGTTGTCAACCATCCAGTATCCAACAGCCAGCCAGCACTCATCCAGCACTCGTCCAGCACTCATCCAGCACTCATCAAGCCTCCTCCATCACCCGGCCCATCAGTCAGCAAGCAAGCAAGCAACAGCTCCGATCATATCAGATCAACACATTACACCTCAGATCAGACTAAAACAAGAACGTAAGTCAGCACGAACTGACACCTAGAACGGCAAACCCCAAAGCCAATGACGACATACCGCCGTTCTCGTCACGGGTCTCGGGCCGAGAGCGAGTGAGTGTCTCGGGGGAGATAGGACGGGATGGAAGGTGAGCGGATTTACGTTTGCGGCCTTGGTGGTATAGTATAGTTTGGAAAGGGGATGAGGTAAGTGGGAGGTGAGAGGAGGGCGGAGGATGGGAGGTGGGAGTTGAGGGAATTGCGAGTAAAAATAAAACCCCAAGATCTCAGGGTTCTTCAGTTGTTGACAGATAGGACCAGCAAAGCAGACTTCATATTCACCATCAAATCCAATACAATTCACACCCCAAAGATCGAAAGGTGGTTAAAAAGATATTAAGAAATACCATTCATCTATATCCCCCCAACCCCTCTAAATATTCCCCCCAGTAATACAGAAACCCCGCCCATCCACTTGCACACGCACACACACAATGGTATGATGTTGCCTCTCTCGTGCTTCTACCCCTTCCGAAAATCAGATCAGGTCCAATTTATCGGTTTTTCTCCCTTCCATCCGCGTAATTACCTCCTCCACCCTTCTTCCCCTTCTTTCGTCCCCGTTCAACTCACAAAGTTCACCTGAGACGCGCTGATGAGGCACTCCTGAAAGCGCAACCCGAACGCGCACTCAAGATCACCCATCCACTGACTTTCTCACCAAGCAGTCCAACACTAACAGACCGCTCCTTACAACAGCATAGCCGCAACAGCCATAACAGCCGCCGCCGCACCGCTGCCTCCCATCCTGCTAGCCGCACCACTCGCATTCGGCGCCGGGGTCTGGGTGAACGCGCCCGTTGGCTCCTGCTGTGGAGCTCCGCTGCTGGTGCCGGCGGCGGCGCCGGTGGTGGTGGCAACGGCGGAGGTGGCAGCGGCGGATGTGGCAGCGGCGGAGGTGGCGGCAGAGGTAGGGGGGAAGGAGGAACCGCCGAACGATCCCTCGTCGGCGGAGGAGGGCGCGGTGACGAGGGTGGTGGGGGTTGCGGCACCGCCTGCTGCTTGGGTGGTGACTGCGCCGCCGGCTGCGGCGGAGGAGGAGCCGGAGCCAGAGCCGACTACTTTGCAGAGCTCGCCGGTTAGGGAGAGGACCTCTGTGGGTGTGTTAGTGATTATTATTTGCATTGAGTTTTGTGATGGATGTGAGAAATGGATAGGTGTCTTGGCAGTGAAATTGAAATTGGATATGAGAAATCCAGGACAAAAAGAAAAACGTACTAATAGCATCAGCAGCCTGGCACTTGGTGGTGACACAAGGAGTAGCCGAAGTCTGGATAGCAGACATCTTGCCGCACTGGCACGCATAGTCGGTGATGGCGCAGTTCTGTCCCGCGGATGCGGTGGCGATGCAGGTCAGCGCGCACGAGGGGATCTGGGACACGATGCTCGCGACGTCCTGGGCGGCGACGGAGGTTGCTGCTGCGACGGCAGCGATGAGGGCGAGTGAGAAGCGCATGGTGAAGTTTTTTTTGAGGTGAGAAGAATTTGACTTGGCTTTTGGCTTTGACGGTGAGTTGATGATCTGTTTGAGATGATCGATTGATTGATTTTTTGTCTGCCTGAGCGAGCGTGGTGGAGTGGAAGAAGGAGGGAAGGAAGAGATGGAGGGGAGGAAGGGGAATATGAACAGGGTGGGTGGGGGGGGGAGGATGGGGTAGTGTTGTTGAGGCGTCACATGTCATCAGCCAGCTTTGTTAGGATGATGGATGGGAGTGAAGAGCCTAACCATGGCAGGTGCGGGGGGGAGGATGGGCGGGAGACGAGCAGAAAGCAGAAAGCAGATTGAGGGAAGGGACATTTTCGAGGGACATTTTAGATCCCGGGGGGGGGGAGGAGGAGAATAGAGAGGAATGGGCCAATGGAGATGGGGGGATTGGGTAGATTGGCTGAATGGGGGATGGTGTCAACGGGGAAATAGTGGGAAGGGAAGTTCAATAATGGGGAAGTAATCTGGAAAGTGGAGGGGGAAATGTTTGTTTTGGGTAGAGGGGAGGGATTATCGTTATTCGACGTTTATTGTGAGGAGCGTGAGGAGCGTGGGTGGTACCATGAGTGAGTACCACACGGGAAGGACTGGGAGAGGCGTAGATTGGGGTTGTTCGGGGTGTACTAGGCCAGGATGGGGTAGTGGGTGTGTTAGTGTGGTGGTAGTTTTGTACTATTCTGGTAGAAGATAGTAGGAGATGCAATTAGAGTAGTCTAGCTGGGGGAGAGAGAGTAGTCTAGCTGGGAGTAGACTGGAGCAGAGCAGTCAATAGTGTGGGCGCGGAGACAGGGAAAAAGTTGGATTTTGGGTGGAGGTGGGTGGGTGGTGGTGTAATGAGTGATGAGTGATGAGGAAGGGTGGAGAGGTGGGGAGATGGGGAGGGATTGGAGTGTATGGGGGTTGGGTAGGTATGGGGCCAAGGAAATGATGGAGAGAGAAAGTGAGCATGGAGATTGGAGAGAGATTAGAGGGAGTCTGGAGCCAAAGTCTGGAGTTGTCTGGAGTGAGGATGGGGAGGGGGAGGAGGAGGGGGAGATTAGAGAGAGAGGGTATTGTGGAGGATGGATGCACAGTCTGCACAGTCTGGTGTCCATAGACTTTTATTTATCAGCCATACACACACTCTGTTTAGCCAACACTCAGTCTTATCCACCATCTTCTTCTCTCCATCAGCCATACACTCAGCTATACCCACTTCAGTGTCTGCTTCATTACTACATTTGTCTAGTCTTGCGATGAGTCTATACGTACTGCACACACGGCTGACTGACACTGACAGTGACATCTATTGACAGTCCTGTCTCCTCTCCTCTGCATTCTCTGCCGCGTATCCTCTTCTCTCTTCTCTCTCCTCTGCATTCTCTGCCGTCTACTCTACCGCATATCCTGTGTCTATCATCTCTACCATCTCTGCATACGTACATACATACCCAGTCTCTCCCTCGGACGACAACCACGTCCCCTCTTACTCAGTAGCCTCGGCACGGCAGGGTCTCTGTCTCTCTGTCTGTTTCTCTCTGTCTTACAATCCCCTCTCATCCATACCACGTCCGTAATGTCTTACCTGTTCTCTATCCTGCATTGTCTTACCTGTCTATCTTACCTGTCCTACCTTCCTACCTCTCTGTCTCACCTGCATTTGTTCTCGTTCACTTCTTTCCTTCCATCTCCGGCCTCACTCTTCTGCTCTTCCCTGCTGTCTCACTCGTCATCGCCACCATGCCATGATGCCATGATGCAGATGCAGCCAAGCAAGCAATCGACCTCCAAGTCAAGCAAGAATTGCCGTACTGCAGGCAGTCCAGTTTGTGCAGTAGTAAGTGGGACCATCGTCGACAGGGACAGGCTGGCTATCTGTGGTGCAGCTATCTCATTGCCAAGTATATCAGCTGTAAGCAGAGTACGTATACTTGCTGTACAGCTGGGCGTGGAGTTAGAGTCATCGACACAGGCATCGTCGCCAAGAATCGCCATCGCTCACAGCAACAGCATCATCATCAACAGGCATGTTGCCAAGGAGTGCAGTGAACATCCCCCCATCCCCCTCCCTAGCATCACATCACAGCGTTACCAGCAGGCACCTTGCCAAGGCCTGAAGTGTAGTAAACATCCCATCCCCATCCCCAGCATCACCAGCCAAGTATCACCAGCCAAGTACCCTTCCCCCCCCCCGATGTCACCCTCCGCCCGTTTTCCCACATAATCGGCATCGAGGGCATCGAGGGTACATCCCAGAGCATCCCAGCCACCCCTCTACCCTCGCACCACCACACGGCACTCACCGCATACACGAACAAGCAATGCACACATGCCTGCACGCACACATGCATCCATGCACACACCGGATTTAATACCGATCGGCGCTACCTTAGTCCTGCAGCGGAGGGATTTTACCCATCTCTGTCCAGGGGGAATGGCAGGGGGGGTGGGTGAGGTGGGTGAGGTAGATGAGGTGGCAACCCTGCGAGGGGAACCGAGGTGACTGGCCACAGCTTTTAGAGGTTAGCGCGCATGGGGACCATGCTGATCGTGGTGTGGATGCGGATGGTGCTAGGATGTTGCTGGGTAAGGGTCGTGCGACGATCTTGGCTCTTGGCGGAGAGGGGAGATGGGGGTGCTAGGCTGGGTTTGGGTTAGGGGGGGTTTAGTCTGGGATTGAGGAAGGGGGTAGTACTGCGTTCGCTGATAGATAGTGGCGTTTGGGGGACTTGCTGTGGCCCGTAGACGAGCCTGCTTACCTGACTGACCTAGCTGATCCCGGAGAGAGGGAGGAGGGAGGGGTTGACGTCAGGTACAGTACGTCCAGTACGCCACGCCTAGGAAGGTACGGACGGGTCGGCAACGTTGGCATGCATGTGCGCGCGCGGGGGTGTTCTGTTTGTGTGTGTGTGTGTGCTGGTATTGCTGCTGGCTGCTGCCGTTGTTGGTGTGGGTGAGTGTGTGGGTGTGTGGGTGGTAAAGAGAAGGGGAAATTTCTAGTGCAGAACTGCGGAGTCCCTTTAATTTCGCAGGAGATTTCCAGGACGGGGTGCGCATTGCGATTGCGGGAGGGATATCGTCCGTCTGGGTCTGTCTGGATGTTCTAGCTGTTCTGGCCAGACTACTAGATTACTGCTGTCTATCAACTAGGTGGTGGGTGGATTGGTGGTGGGTGTGAGAAATTTCTTCATTCCCTTCTTTTCCTATCTCGTTTGGTAGACGGCGACGGCGACGGCGAGGTGCTGCTGCGAACGAACTCGACTGACTGGTACGTACCCCCACTCGATGGATTCGGTGGACCATCCCGTCTACAGTCAGTGGATATGAGTAAGTAACTACCACAGCTACCTATCTGTCACATGACTCGCCCCTCGCAAGCCTATCCTCTCTTGTCAAAAACTTTCTTTGCTCGGGAACCGCACATGGCGATGAACGGGTCGACTCGCCTCACTCACCTACCCACGTACCTTCGGGAGCGCGTTCCAAGCTTTCGGGTTCGGGTTCGGTGATGATGATGGTGGTTGGTGACGCGAGGGGAGGGAAGCAGTGACGACTTGTTCGCTTAGAAGTGTGGGTGAGGTGAGTGAGGTGAGGGGAAGCTGTTTATGTGGAGGGCTCAGTGAGTTAGTCGGTCGGTCGGTCGGTGGTGGATCGGAGTCGGGGAGTTCGGGGATGGTGGATTGGTACAGCACAACACCAGCACCAGCATCAGCTAGACAGACAAACAAAAAGACGGGAAGCAGGATTTACCACTCCGAACCCCAAGCTTGTGATTGGCCAAGACGACGGGTGGTAGGCATTAGGTCCTTACTGCACGTCAGCGAGGCGTCGCGGCTCGGTCGGCGGCTGGGGCTGGGCATTCTCACATGCTTATACTTGTGCTTTGGGGATGGAGCTCGGATGGGGAAGACGAGGGGGATTGCGGGATTGCGGGATTGCGGAGTTTGTGGGTGAGGTGGATTGAGGATGGATTATGGGGACAGTGAGAAATGGAGGTGCGGGGTAAGTGATGCATGGTTCGTATCCTGTCTGTCTGGAGTGAGTGGGTGAGACTCTGGGGAACGGGAGGATTTGGGAGGAGGAGGATTGGTGGTGGTTTGGAATTGAGTGGTGGTGAGTGGTGGGGTAGGTTGCATGTGTAAAAAAAAGCTTTCAAGGTTGAAAGTTTGAGAAAACTGAGAATTGACTGAGTGTGAGTATAGGGGTGGGCAAGCAGATTAATCTTGGCAGTTTTCAAATCTGATACTATTTCAAAATACCCAATATGAACACGGTAGAGTAATTTTTATATGATAGTATTTCAACCGCTAAACGAATGTTCTGTATGTATGCACGTCCAAGAATGATATCTATATACACATCCAAAATATCTCCAATTCACCCCCGCCCAAAATATCTTCCCCTCCCCTTCAAAAAAAAAACACCACTTCCGATGCCAGAAAATGCCAATCAACCCGTATATGTGAAAAACAAACGCCCTACTCCATCCAGATCCAAACCAGACTAGACAAGACCATCTATCTATCCCCCTTCCCCTCCGCCATCCCCAGACTCCGCGTGTAAAAAAAGATTCAACCCATCCATCCATCCCAATCTCATCTAAGTATCCCCTCTCTGGACATAGTCACAGCCAGCTGGCATCTCGCAGAAATGGCAGGTTCCCAGGGCTCTCTCGCTCATGAACGAGGCAGCTAGACACAGTCCCGCATGCCTCCTCTCTCCACCACCCACTCTCACTCCATCTCTTCCCCTTCACCCCCCCTACGACGCCGCAGCCGCCAGCGCCGCCGCCGCCTTCTGCGCATCCCCCACCTCCTTAATCGCCACCATCTTCGCCTGCTCCTCTATCGACAACGCCTTAAACGCCGCCGTATTCGCGTCCCACAGCTGAATGCACTGGATATCCCAATTGCACCTCTCCACCTCCCCATACACCGGGTGGCTGTAGCGCGGGTGCACGGTCGGCCAGCCGGAGGCGTGGTACCGGTGCTTCACGAGCGCGGTGCGGGCGTTGTGGTTCCCGGAGTCGGAGTGGCCTTGTCCTGCGGCGAAGGCTTCGACGGTGAGGACGAGGGCGCCGCCGATGAGTTTGCTTTCGCGCATGGCGTGGAAGGAGTCCCATGTTACTGCGTGTCCTGCGCCTGCGGAGATCTCAGCTAGAATCGCCGAAGTAAAAGCGGACGGGCCGGTGCCGGAGATGACCTCGTCGAAGTCGAGTTGAAGTTGGGAGATTGGCACGCCCTGCGTTTCGGAGAGTCCCTGGAGCCACAACAAGATGCCGTCGACGAGGCGGAGCATGACGGGCAGGCCGGGCTTGGCCATGAAAGTCCATTGGCAGAAGGACTGGGATTTTGGGCCGAGGATGGCGTGGTCCTTGAACTCGGGCTGGTCGATCTCAACGCCGATTACCATGTCGATGTCGCCCTCTTTGTAGCGGTCGGGGATGAAGGAGTCGATGGGCTTGAGCGCCTCGACGTCGATGTCGGTGTACAACCCGCCGTCCACGTACATGACCAGATACCGCAATAAATCAGCCTTGATGATCTTGGCGGTGAGCGAGCGGTAGGTCTCGACGATGTCCGGGCGGTTGAGGCCCGCTGGCCCGTAGTGCGACTCAACGTACATGAGGTCGTTGCTGTCTGTCAGCACCTCGTATCTGTACCCTGGGTTCTTCGACGTCCAGGTGCGCGCGCACGAAGAGTCGCGCTCCTCGAAGCCGAGCGGGTCGACCTTCCACGTCTGCCAGATCTTGCGGGGGAACTTGGTGGCGAGGGCGAGGGGCTGCTGGTGGGAGAAGCCACGCTTTGCGACGCGCAGGGGGGCGCCGAGGGAGTCGGCGTGCGAGATGATGAAGATGATGAGGATGCAGGCGAGGTAGACGGGGAGGGCGCGCTGGATCTGGCGCGGGAGTCGGCCGGTGAAGGCGGTGGGGGTTTGGAGTTTTTCAATCATTGCTGTTGTTGCTTTGGTGGTTGTGATTGTGATTGTGGTGGTGCTCCTGCTGCTTTTGTCGGTGTCGTCTGTCTGGAGATTGGATTGTTCAGAAGAAGAGACGAAGACGAAGACAAAGAGGAAGAGAGCAGCAGTTGGGGATGAGCAGGAAAAAGTTTGTCCCTTTTCGATCAGCACGGGAAGGGAAGGCAGGGAAGGGGAGAAGAAGGGAAGAAGGGGAAGAAAGGGCAGGCCTTAAAGTTGGCGGGTGGGGGTGGGTAAGTGAGGTGGGTGTGAGGAATTGGAGAAGCTGGGGACGCTAAAAGGATGGGTATTCTGGGGACGCTATTAGGGGCGAACTTATGATGACTATGCTCGGAAGAGTAATTGAGAGGGGGATGGAGGGGGATGGAGGGGGATGGGAGGTATGGGAGGTATGTGAGAGTGGGAGGGGGGTACAGGAGGGTGTATGAGATATAGGAGGGAGGGGAAGTATTGAATTGGGTGGGAATCGGAGTGAGTGAGTGAGCATGGGAGAGAGTTTGTATGAGGGAGGAGAGTGGAAAAGAGAGTGAAGAGAGAGAAGGCGGTACATGGCGGAGCGGGTGTGGTTTGCGGGAAGATGGAAGTACTGTATCCCTTCGTTTACTGATTTCGGAGTATCAGTTGAAAGTATCAGTGGAGAGAATCTCTCTGTCTGCGTGAGTGGAGACTGGACTGACAAGGATTCCGGGCACTCAGGGACTTTGATGAACATACCCATACTCCCAAGTTAGGCTAAGAGTACCCGAAGCGGATAGGGTAGCACTTGCCGTTGCTCTCGCCAAAACGTTGCCGTACTCTGTGAAACAATCGGCAGTCTAGAGTAGAGTAGAGTAGAGTAAACTGAGTACTGAGCAGAGCAGAGCAAGTGTAGTCAAGTCATGCTCATCTGGCACCTTTTCCAAGCTTTTCTGCCAAGTGATACCGCCCATCCCTGTTGCTGGTGGTGGATAGGTGGTGGATAGGTGGTGCATGCGTCCTTGGTATGTGAATCCCCGCACGGTGGTCAAGAGTTGGCCAAGATTGTCAGGGATTATCCATGATTGTCCCACCGAGGTGCCTGTTCTGTTCTGGGGGTGTACGTATCTTCCCATACCTGCCGCTAAAATGCCCGCTAAAAAGTGCCTTCTTCTTCGTTCTGCGCTAAACAAGCCCTACGCTTACCCTGTTAGTCCCACGCTAAGCGAACAACGGGTGCGTCGGTAGATAATCTTGGCGATTTAGTTCTACGTTAGTAGAACTGCTTGGCGGTTTGGTATGACGGTGAACTATGCTGTCCCACATGGGAACCAGGGGTTAGTGCGAGGAACGCCAATCCTAAAGCCATTGTACCCACACAAACTGCTCGGTTACCGGGGTGGCTGGTAGCTGGCTGGTGAGGAAGAGTGGGGGTTTCGAGGAAAGGACCTGCCTCGGAATTTTACATTTGTTTTCACATGTCAGTCAGTCTCAGTCAACCACAGCAGCTAACAATACTGTACCCACAACGCCACAACGGCTCTTTCCTTCTTCTTTCCTTGATGACTGTGATGAATACTGGGATAATTGGCATCCTGGATACTGGGATTCGGGGATCCTCAAACACGCCACCAGCCAGGTTATACCACTCACTCACTCACCCACTCACTTATTCTCACACTCTCACACTCCCACACGCTCAATTGGCGTCAATTGCGCCAATTACACGTAATAATGCCCACCACAGACGATGACTGTATGATGCGTATAGTATGATGCTCTCAGCAGAGTACTGCTGTAGTACTACTGTAGTACTACAGTTCTCTACTGAGAGCATCATGAGTACAGCAGTAGTACTCTGTTATCCGACACCTCTACTACCTCTACTACCCTTACTACGGCAACACCAGCCACATCCGTCACAACTGCCCTCCGCAAGCACTTGCGCTTGCACACTTCCAAGTACTACTGTACTGTAAACACACTTACAGTAAACACACACACAAACTCCATTCGGCATTTTCACATTCCCTTTCTCCATATCTCCAGTCTCTCCATCTCCACCTCCACCCTCATCCACCTCCTCCTCCTCCATCCTCTACCCTGCCTTACCACTCTACTTGCTACTCTACCCCATACTCCCCAGACTCTCACTATCCCACTTCGCAACTTCACTCCTGTTTCTCCCCGCACTCCTCTTCATTCCATGCTAACCCTACACACTTACCAAACTATGCCTATGCTCCTGCCCTGTCGCAACTTACTTACCATCCTGCCCTGCCATAACTCACCATCCCGCCACTCGGACATGCCGCCCGTGATTTGACTCGCCGATCTATACTCCCCACGTACCGTACCTGCACGCTCTTCCGGCATGTGAACATGTGAAGATGAAACAGCGCGATAGCACCAAGGACCGCCTGTACTCGCCTGCACTTGCCTGCACTTGCCTGCTCTTGCCGGCACTCTCCTCCACTCTCCACTCTCCCATGCACTGTGGAAAATACTCTCCACACTCTTTCTGCTCTACCCTACCTGCTCCACCTACTCTACCCACTCCACCTACTCGCTCGACTCTACCTTTGTACTCTACCCATCCTACAACAGCTCCCCCCATCCGCTGACTAATCATTGCCTCCACCATCTCTCTCAATCCTCATTATTTACTCCATCTCTTGGCTGATCCTGATCGTCCCTGCATCCCCTCCGCTTCCCTCTCCCGTAACCACCTTCCTGGCGCCGGCGTCAGTCAGTTTGTCTGATATCTCTATAAAAAAAAGCCACCGCGACAGCATCAATTGCCCATCAACTGCTCAAAGGGCCTCACGACCTCATCCCCCTCCAGCCGTGAGCCGGCATCACCCCCACCTCTCCTCCCTTCTCCCCTCCTCACCGAAACACCCTCAAAAAATGTCCCTCCAACACGACGGCCTCCTGGGCCAGAAATGGGTCCCCGCCGACCCCTCCAGCAAGCTCTCCCCCCTCGCGCGCATCGCCAAAAACTGGGCCGAATACCTGCGCCCATCCTTCCTCACGCGCGCCGGTGGGAGCAAGACCAAGACACAGCTCGGGCGGACGGCATACCTCGACGGGCTGCGCGGATTCGCGGCGTTTCTCGTGTACTGGCAGCATCACCAGCTGTGGGCGCACGAGGCGCTGGGGGCGGATAAGATTCTCGAGAATGGGTTTGGGTATGAGAAGCAGTATTACTTCGCCTGTTTGCCGTTTATACGTACGTTCTTCACGGGGGGGCACTTCGCTGTCACGGTATTCTTCGTCATCTCGGGATACGTTCTGTCTGCGAAACCGCTCGCGTTGATCCAGGGCGGTGAGTATGGCAAGCTGGGGGATAACCTGGCCTCTGCGCTATTCCGACGTTGGATGCGCCTCTACATCCCTATCATCGTCACGACCTTCATCTACATGACATCCTGGCACGCGCTGGGCATCTGGACCGACTCAGAACACCAGGGCAGCTACGGCGACGAGCTGATAAAGTGGTACCGCGACCTCAAGAACTTCACCTTCATATTCGACGGCAGCGGGGACCCGTTCTTCCACTACAACGGCCACGTGTGGTCCATTCCCGTGGAATTCAAGGGCTCGATCATCATCTACACCTGCCTCCTCGCCTTCTCGCGGTGCCGCAAGAACGCGCGCCTGTGGTGCGAGATCGGCATGATATACTACTGCATGTACATCGTTGACGGATCTTTCTTCTCCATGTTCCTCGGGGGAATGCTGCTGTGCGACCTGGACCTGCTCGCGGCCAAGGACGAGCTCCCGCGCTTCTTCGCCCTCTTCGAGCCCTGGAAGGAACTCATCTTCTTCAACCTCTTCATTATTAGTCTGTACCTCGGCGGCGTCCCGTCGCATAGCGGGGAGGTCAGCGTCCTCCGCGAGACGGGTGGGTGGTATTACCTCTCCTTCCTCAAGCCACAGGCTGTGTTTAACTATAAGTGGTTCTACCTCTTCTTTGCGTCTGTGTCGATGGTGGCGTCTGTGCCGCACATGCCGTGGCTGAAGACGTTTTTCGAGATGCGCTTCAACTTATACCTCGGGCGCATCTCATACGCCTTCTATCTTATTCACGGCCCTGTCATGTGGACGCTGGGCGATAGGTTGTACGTCGCCGTCGGCTGGTATAGGGATTCGCATCTGAAGGGGGTACCCGGGTGGGTGAACCTGCTCCCGTTGTCGAAAGCTGGGCCGTTCTTCGGGGCTGAGTTTAGTTTTTTGGTGCCGCATATTATTATCCTCCCTGTCACGCTGTGGTTGGCGGAGGTGGTGACGAAGACGGTGGATAAGCCGACGGTGAGGTTTGTGCAGTGGGCGTATTCGAGGACGTTGGCGCCGGCGGTTGGGAAGTTATGATGATGTTTATGATGGGTTGGTTGTGGTTGGCGTTGGCGGGCGTTGGCATTGGATTGGCATTGGATTTGAATTGGGTGGTGTATTTTGGGACTGTATAGAATTGGAATTGGAATTGGGGGATATTTGTAGAATTGTGATATTGGGGATGTATATAGAATTGAGATATCGGAAGATCTACAGAATCATAACATCACAGAATCTGTAGAATTGAACAAGAGAATCTATTGAATTGAAACATCGCAGAATCTTCAGATTTGAAACCCAGCAAAATCTTCAGAATTGAACATGAGAATCTACAGAATTGAACAGCAGAATCTATAGAATTGAACTGAACCCTCGCAAAATCTACAGAATCGAACATGAGAATCTACAGAATCAAAACCTCCCAGAATCTGCACCTTCAAAACCATAAAATGTCTCGAATTAAACACCACACACACAATTGAAAAACTATCACCAAAATCCCTCAATCTCAATCTCTCACACCCCACCAAAATCATCACTCAATCCCACACCCCCAATAAAACAAGCCGCGATCACCGCACGCAAATCTCCACGAATATTGGATCGCAAATCTCCCCCTCCCCGCCCCAAATCCCAAAATGACGCACGCAGCACGCATCACAAGCCAAGGAAATCCCCCCCCGTCCCGGCCTAACGCCCCCCCGCCTCACTACTCCCTGAATCGTACCGTGCGCTGATCGTGGTGTAGGTACCAGGCCGGGGTCTAGTAGTGCTAGTGTTAGTGTTAGTGCTAAAACCGGCGGTGGGTGGGCGGTGGTGCTCCCCACATTTTGGTGTGTGGTGTACCCCAATAATTATTTCCCCAGCAGTGAGCGGCGATGGGGGGGGGGGGGGGGAGGGAGCACATGCGCTGCTGCGGTGGGGTGGGGGGAGACATAAACTCTCATTCATTTATTCATTCATATCATTAATCCTTTTGCTCGCCAAGCATCTTGATCTGAGATCTGATCTTGGCTACGACCTCAATCAAGCCAGAAAATAGGGAAAGGT